ATGATACTATCAAATGTTAATATTTATCAGATTTTGATCAACAGAACTTAGTATCTTATATTTATTCCTTTTTATATCTTACAATATTGAATGTTTTCCACAGGTTTGCTATCATATATACTATGACTTTTACTAATTACCTATAAAGATCCTTGCACATTTGGAGAATTTTTAATGTAATTGTTTTTGTTCTTCCAAATAAAGTGTAATTAAAGCTTTCCTGTGATATTTATTGCATTTTTCCAGTTTGAAGATATTGTAAGCATTCTTATTGAGAGTTTATAATACACACTTAACATGCCTTTTGGAATCTAAAATCTTTTAGCAATATATTATCATGCATTTGTTTTTATTTTTATTTCAAGATAAATTAACCAATAACTTTTATGCTAGTGTACTTAGTGCTTTAAAGATCGAAAAACTCAGTCCATTTAGAAACTTTTGATGAAAGATTAAATATGACATATGCTTTCAAATGACAAATGTCTATCAACATACTATAACAACAAAGTCTAATTCTGTACTGGAATAAAATCTGAGAGAGAGAGAGAGACAGATTTATTTTTAAATATCTTTTTTCCTCTATGATCAGAGGGATTTTAAATTACTTTTTAGTATCTAGTAAAGTCAGTGTCTCACTGTAGTCACCATTTCTATTTTAGAGGAAGATTCCTTAACACTTTTCTTCTATATGTTCATTCTAATGAGCTTTAGAATGATTTTCTCAGACTTCATATGAATAAGATTTAATAGGGTTTAAGTCAGGATTATGTGTACCTATTAAGAAATTCCATTCTAAATACTGAGCTTCTATTTGAAACAATAAGGCAAGTTTATCATTAATTTTATTTTACGTGTCAGTATAAAATCAATTTCTGCAAATTTCTTGTATGTTGCTATTGGGTAAAAATTATTTCTTCTATTGTATTTTCTGTCTGAAAACAAACAGAATTAACAATACACTAGTGCAAAACTCAAGCATGAATACACTCTACATGTACTTTATTTAGATGTGTTTATATACAGCATATATAATATATAATGTATAATGTATACAATTATATATAATTTATATATTATAGAGATTATGTGAACATATAATCATGATCTAAGTTATATAATATAGATTCTATATCTATATAATATCGGTATTTCATATTATATATAATCATTCATAGTCAATGAATGTATGTTGTATTGTAAAGAATTCTAAAAATAGTTTTAGGTCTTGTGCAAACAGTTCTTGTTTTTAAAAATTACAATAAATAAAAATTCACTTACCAATACAATAATCAGAACCCTACAGAATGATAACTTGTGCTATGACAGAAAAGCACGGAATGACAAGCAAATTTATAAGAAGAAAATATCTCAGCTGGGTTGCAATGAGGAATAAAGGGCTAGGAAGGATCTTGTGAGGATATGGTGTTGGGCTGAGCTCTAAAAGGTGAGAACAAGTAGACTAAAGGAATGAAATATATGTAAAAAATAGCCTTTGAGAGTACAGGGAATCGAGTACTTTTTAGGGAAATGGCTAAAATGTCACATGAGTTGCCAGGAAGACAGTAGCATAATGAAGGCTGAGGACTCAGGTTATTTAAGTACTTTCTAGTTTGAGGATTTTTGTCTTCAGATGCCATCAAATTAAGAGAGCGTATACATTGTATTGTCACGCTGGGGAGAGTAATAAATGACATATTCAGAATTACATTTCAATCTCCCTATTGTGGCTACATAGGAAGAAGGGGTCAGAACAGGGCAAGAATGGAAGCCTGAAAAAATGTTTGAAAACGATACCACAAAACAATCCAGGTGTGAGAAAATAATTTAATTATGTGCTTTAAGATAGTTGCTATTGAAGTGGAAATAAAGCCCTAATATGAGTTGCTTTCTAAGTTGCTAAATTTTTCTTAGAAAAAATGGAGAGTAGGACTCAAAATCTTTAGCAGTGACTCTAGCATAATGAAAGAAAAAGCTAAGGTGGACCCATTGCAACAATAAGATGTACAAGATGTTATGTCGAAAATGAACTTTACAACTTTGGTGTGGGGGCAGGGAGAGGTAGGGGGGGAAGATGGGAAGGGATGTGAAGGGGAAACAAAGGAGGCAACAATGCTTGGGAAGAAATGCACTCATTACCTTGCCCATGTAATTCTAACCTCTCTCTGTGGTATTTTCACAATAAAAAATAAATAAATAACCAAGATAATAGTTCCATAATAAATTGATAAATAAATTATAAAAAAGAAAACAGAAAAAGCTAACAAGAGTAACTCTGGTTTCCAGCTATATAAATGAATTAGGGATGAGGATTAGAGATTGTCTTCTGAGATATTGAACCTAGGATTTCTTTTAGATAGAAATATCATGAATTTGTTTCAGAAGTATACATATTTTTTAAACCCAAATATTGTTAGAGATTTAAATGTTTAAGTAAAGTGTTTCTCCAGTTCCAAGAGGAAGTTGGAACATGTGAAATTGTTGCTACAGATAGTAATTAAGGTGATGAGTAAGGGCAGGTGACAAGAGTGTATTGAGTTTCAAAGTGAAGAGAATCACATGGAGCCACAGGACTAACAACCCTTATATAACTGGAGAATTCATGAGAAAGGGTTCTTATAGGCATACCCCAGTCTTCTCTATAAGTTTTTGGCTTATTTCTCACGGGACATGGTTTGGTTTGGACATGGACCTCAGCCCTTACATTAACAGTTAAGGGTTATTCTTATTGAATCCTGAAATCTTCAAATTTTCAAAACAAAAAAGCATGTCGAGATGTTCTTATTCACCATGGGATGAGGAGTTTGAGGATGATAGCTCTGCTCATTGTTTTATTCACATATTTTCAGGGTTCCTGAAATAGACATTTTTGAGAAGGCAGAACTGTTTTTTTCTTTTTATAATTTCCTGGAATTTTTAAGTTTTTAAACAGATATTGAATCTGACCCAATTTCTCCATTTTGTCATGCATTTTGTACTTTTTCTGCATCATTTGCACATTCCTTACTATTATTGTTTCTTTTACTTCATTTATGTGATTAGGGACCTTTTTGTGTTTTAAATAAATTAATAATAAATTAACACCTCTATTCTCCCCAATTGTAGACTAGTTCACTTTTAATTATGTGGGGTTTAATGTACTTTTGGGGCACATAAAAACAAATTCATTAGTTTAATGGGACCTTGTAGACTTGGCATGTAGGTAAGAAATCTGAAGGCTTTTGAATGGGGTCTGTAATCTTTTATGTAAAGCATTTCTCAGCTCTACATTAAAAGTAACAATTGATATTTCTGTATATCAAAATTATTAGCATTTTTTACTTAATAGAATCACCACCTACTTTGGCTCATCTATCTGAAAAATAAGAAAACTCATAAATATCTTCTGCTATATAGTCAAATTCAAGATGTAGAGCTTAAGTAATCAAGTCAGGACAGGTAATTATAAATATAAAATATAAATAAATATAAAATGAACATTGAAATAAACTGAAAATATTTAGGCTAAACTCATATGTGAAATATTTTAAATGTATTTTATTAACAATTTATTCAACCATAGAAAATCCACTTCTTGTACTTATTGTCAATAATGCTACTCTGATATTTTAAAGACTAGATTATGACAACATTGTCATATTGTCTTGGTGAGTAATGCCATAGAATGATATGCATTTGTAAGCCACTATGTACATGATGTAAAGTATTTGCTCCATGTCTGAAAAATACGCTGAGCAAAATTTACCACAGCAATCTATCTTTCAGTACTGGGAAATAAACAGACCTAATAAGTTCAAAGGAATTCCACAAAACAAAAACCACTGACATGAGAAAAGCGTGAATTTAATTTTATGCTTTGCTGAGATACATGACCAAAATTGTGTGCATGGCTTGTCCTTGGAGATGGCCCCAGCTGTTTATTTTTAAATTGAAAAAAAAAACCACAACAATGGAGCCCACAAATGCAAGTAAGAATAAAAAGTCTCTTGAGACACAAGGGGCCCTACAAGGTCTTGTTTAGGAAACATGCAGTTTTACAAGGCATTGCAGATACAATATGACAGGAGGACAAGGGGAAGGCACGGGAACAATGCACTTGCCTTCAGAAATGGGAGTCTAACAGCTCGGGTTTCACAAAATGGTATCGATGAAACAATCTTTATTTTTATAGACTTTTATAGAGAGAATTTTAGCACCATCATTAAAGGTAAAATAAAAATACTTTTTAGCCCTGCCTATCTCCAGTCTTGGAATAATTACAGAAGCATAGCACCTTTCAGTATCTAAAATATAAACAAGAATAGAAAGTCCATCCCAGCTTCCAGAGATGAGGTAGCTCATGCTAAGAAATGTTGGGTTATTTTTCCTATAAAAGTTCCAAGGCCAAATAGACTAATTCCAATAATCACATTTGAATAGTCAACTCCACAATGTTTCTCTAGATCTTTTCTTCATTACAGGCTTCAGTATAACAATTCTGTACAGATGGATGAGTCTCAACTTGGGTCTTTGTATGTGTCAATTAATGTGTATTCAATGTCCCCTTAACTAAGAAAATAAAAACGTGTTAAGTGGTGTGTGTGTATGTGTGTGTGTATGTTACTTCTATCTGTTTTGATAAACTGTATCAAAAGGGACAAAGGCACTATTCAATTTATCAGCCCTTAACGAAGTTTCAGAATTTGAAGAAATAAATGAGTTAAATTTTGTACTGATTTAAGATCATGAGAAGCTGAAATATTTTTTAAGAATTTCTGTAATAGGAATACAGTAATAAAGACATGTATGTGGGTTTCTATCACAAGATTCAATTATTTTGATTCATTTTTCATTGATAATCTGACACAAAAGAGCACTGCTTGCTATTTCTTCAAATGACAGCCAAGCAAAAAAACAAACAAACATGTGTCATGGTTTTTGTATACCCCACTCATTAAGCTACCCGCCAGGAAGAAGAATTTCCTCATTAAATACTAAGCAACTCTTTCATTACATTGAAATAAATTGAAGAAAAGAGACATTTATTTAATCAGTTTACTTTTCTTTTAAGGTGGTCATTGTCATTGATCAGCTTAAACCTAAACTGCTGTATTCAAAAATACTTTAAGTCAATTAAAACTTGAGGATTGTAAGTAAAATAAATATTCTGAAGGAAAAGGAGGCCAGGCACTTCAGACCATATGTACAATGCTGATGAGGGATCAGCCATTACTTCAAGAGTCTCAGGATCAACTTCAAACGGTCAGTTTTTGTGAAGGGTGATGGTTGTCATTGATTGTGGTGCTCATTGTTGGTGTTTCTGGGCTTGTGTTACATGAAACAAACTGGCCCAATTTCAACACCAAATTCCTGGTCTGTACTGCCAATATCCACGGGGGCAAGATCTATAATGGGTAATCGTGCCACATTCTGGGTTCTGTATTCAAAGACAGTCTTGCCCACATTTCCATTTCGCTTCTGTAATTAAATGGTACAATAGGTTAATAGTATATACAACTTTTCCCCTCAAAGTTTTCCATTTTAGACAGAAACTTCCCCAGATAACTTTTACAATGTAAAAGCAAAATCTTTTACAGCATTGTTTAAGTATCAGACAACTGGTTATATAAAATGAGGAGCTAGCCTACATTGCTGACATTTCTTCCTTCTTCCTTTTTTTGTTGCTACCCAAAAATCAGTAACAATATATAAAAACTTCTTCTGGTTTTTCACAAAAGAATCTATAATTCATCATTCAACATATATATGCATATGTATATATACATACATACATGCATGTATGTAAACATATGTGTATATACATGTATGCATGTATGTGTATGTATATATATTCTATCATACAAGTGGGAAGAGGTAGAAAACAATGACTGGTCATAGTCTTTAGAATCACAGTTTTGTATACTTGGAACTGAGTTACTGCATGAAGAACCAAACAGAATTGAAAATATGTGGATCCAATACTAGCAGTCCAGTTCTTTCTTTACTGTTTTGCATTAATACTTCTAACATTCTTTGTGTACTAACAGATGTTCAAGTTCACCCTAAAGAACAGCTATGAACAAAATGCCATGACAGTAATTTTAATACAAGTGAATTATTTTTTCTCAACTAGATCAATGTAGTTCAAATAGTACTTACAGAGCAAGTATCATGAAGAACTGTATATCTAAATCTAATGTTCCCTTCTCCTTTGATTTCCAAGTCATTTGACCCTTTAAGGACTACAGCTTTCTTGAGGCTCTTGGTTTGATCATCCATGTATCCTATGCTGTTTTTGCAGATGTAAGTAATGTTCTGGGAGGCTTCTTTTGATAAAAGGCGCAAGAAGGTCATCTGAGTAACAGCTGTGTTAGGTGACTGATAATCTCCATAAGTAAACTAAAAAGGAAACAAAAAACAACAACGAAGTCTTTGTTAAAATAATCTGAAGGGTCTCATATGCCTCACAGATATGTGACAGATACATTGAGTTTAGCCGAATCATTCTTGAGAGTATTACTTTGTTGTTATAAAGTAAACTATTCTACCTATACATATAACACATATAAAAATATCTTTGGAATTCTATGCCTCCATCAGAAAGAATGACACTGTCTCATTTGTTAGGAAATGGCAAGACTTGGAAAAAATTATATTAAGTGAAGTAACCCAGACCCAAAGAAACATAGGTCCTATGGTTTCCCTTACTTGCAATAACTAGTATACATTTAGGATAGTCTTACCAGACAAGAACAAAAGATCAAAAGGTATGTACATATGACCATATAATCTGATGCTAAGCGAAATGAACTCCAAGATAGGGACACAAGAGGTTTTTTTCCTTTGTTACTGTTGTTTTTAATGTTCTTTGTGATTTTTTTGTTTCTTTTGTATGTTCTTCCCCGCTGGTATAACCCCTGTTATCACTACTTGATTCTGGTGCCCTGCATCTTGTATACATTTTCTAATTTGGGGAGGGGAAGGGAAATAACAAAATGCTGAAACAAGGATATAGGTTGACCCATTGTAACAATGAGATGTAGAAGACACTATGTTGAAAATGAACTTTACAACTTGTGGTGTGGGGTAGAGGGAGGAAGGTGTTAGGGAGTTGAGGGGAAAGGATAGTAGGGGAAAAACAAAGGAGGGGGTAACAATGCTTGATAGGAAATGTATTCATTACCTTACGCATGTAACTATAACCCCTCTGTATCTTTACAATAAAAAAAATTTTAACCACAATTTTTTTAAATCCTGAAATGTCTGGATTTTCACAAGTAGGAATCTCTCCTTACTACCCCAAATGAGGTGTTAAAACCAATAACAATAATCATTTTACAAAGGAAGATTAAATATTTTAAAAACTGCTTTGATTATGTATAAAACATTTATAACACATTTACCAACAATTTGAGTAAGAATTAGAAATTAATGATTATGATAAATTATTGTGACCCAATGTCATATATTCTTAAGAAACATGAATTATATTTTTTTTGATTAGCTCAAGCAAATTGCCTGTAAGCATTTGGTGATTTGTTTTCAATACTGAGCTTTGTTTTCAATATTCTCAATTGAAGTTGCTACAGGAAAAAATCGTAGTAGTTAAATTTTTTTCCTTGCTCATTAAATAATGGCAGATTCTTTCATATGTTGCACTGGTAGTTAATGTTTTCACATAATCTTGAATGTAAGCATGGATTCTGGTGGAAGGTGAGGAGCAGAGGTGATAAGAAGATGTTAGAGTTAGGCTGCTACCACAAGATCTGAGATGAAATAGACATAATGTACTATAAAAGATCAAGGACTGATGGAACTCTAAATTTTTCATCATGATAGAACTCAGAACAACAGGAATGCAAGCCATGTAATTATAAGGTGTCAATAAAATTAAACATTTACAGAATTTTTTTTCCATTTTTGACACATCATCTAATTCTTACCACTTAGCACGTGTTGTGTATTACTCTAAACACACTGACACGGAGACAGTGGGGTCTGTATTATCACACTTAATTCACACTAGCAAAACTGAGGCTCTGAGAAGTTTTCTTAATTTATAAGGCCCAATGTCAGTAAATGATTCTGCTGACAGTTTTCCAGCCTCCTAATAACTGGCTTTCGATTCTGTTAAGACCTCTGTAATTACACTACACAGTGAGGACCAAAACATTAGAAAACTAAAATTAATATAGTTTTCTGTATTTCATCAATGGGAAAATTATAATTCAACATTTATGATAATCAGCCAGGTGCCAGTGGCTTAAGCCTATAATCCTAGCTACTAAGGAGGCTGAAATTTGAGACTCATGGTTCAAAGGCAGTCCCAGCAGGAAACTCCTTGAGACTCTTATCTCCAATAAACTACTCCAAAAAGCCAGAAGTGGTGTTGTGGCTCAAGAGGTAGAGCTCTCACCTTGAGCAAAAGAAGCTCAGGGACAGTGCCCGGGGCCCAGAGTTCAAGCCTCAGGATGGAAAAATAAAAAGCAAAAAAAGATGATAATCTCATAGTAAAATTTCATTTAAGTAATGTCTTTGCAATTCTAATTAATGAAAATATATCACAAACAATGAAATATACTTCATTAAAAGTAACAGCATATCTCTCTATAAAATGCTAAAAATTTACAACAGATAATATAAAATATAGAATACAATTTTGTGTAGGCATATTAAATTACCTGAGATCCTCTGTTCATATCAAGACCATACCAAACAGGTTTATTGTCAGGAGATTTGCTGGCCCACCAGGTTTTACGTGGGATACTGGATGGGTTTGCTGAGATACAGGTTTCTCCTGTGTCCATGTTGCAGTAAACTTTGATTGCATCTTCAGCAGAACCCTGGTTAGGATCAATCCAGTATTCACCTGTTTTCCAAAATCAAATGAATAAATAAATTGAGATTACCTTAAACATTATTATTAGTCTCCAAAATAATAGAGATGTTTTTATTATATTTATACTATTATAATTTATTTCATTTGATTGATTTCATATTATACTATGATAACAATCAACTATGAACTCACTGATTTAGGGCACATTTTAAAGAGCATATGATATCCTTTAAGGAAAAAGTAACTGTTAGGAACAGAGGGGCTTTCTACATGTTAGATGTTGTTGTAAGGCATTTTGTCAAACCATACACTTAAGGCTCTAAACATCAGTGTGATGGAAATGTTATTATCCTTATTTTATTAGGAAAGAAATGGTATCCACAAGAGATTGGTTTTGTCAAAATACATATGTTCCCGTTAAATTTTTAAAGCCAAAGATTTAAAAAATATAATCATAATGTAATAAGTCATTAATCAACACTATAATTAAAGTAAATATATGAACTACAACAAGAAGCTATGAATCATCTCTAAAGTTAATATTTTCATATATAAATATATATGCATATGAAAATTTTGAAGCAAGCTATAACAAGGCATTGCTTGGTATGGGACATATGGACAAATAAACATATTTGTTCATGTTTAGGCCTATGTGCATGTTTGAGTATAAATACAGGGAAACATATAAATATTAAATTTTAAATAAAATGAGAGTAATGGAAGGTATAGAGTTTAGAATAAAATTGTCTTTTTTTCAGAGATAACATTTGTAGCTTTCCCTGTCAATGTCATTTCAAAGTTAATTGACACTCTTAAACATTTCACAGGCTTTTTTTTTCTATGGTGTAGCATTCCTCTTTTCTAGGTCTTATTAATTATTCAAAATGGCAAAATAGGGCAAACTGTACATGCCAGTCATGCAACTGTGGTAGAAGCACTATTTCTAAGTACCTTAGAATCTCATGATAAAATCATGCTGCTAGCAAAAGATTCCAAAGGAGCAAATCGTAGAAATATAAACTACATTAAAGGAATTCCATGTCCAAATAAATCTGGATAGTACTGTGTACTTAATTTGGCTCTCAATAATACAATAAATGTTATTTTGTTAAAACTGAGAATTCATGGGGGTAAAAAAATATATATGTTTAACCATGCTTCAGCAATTCTTTTCAAAATAGTTATCAACACAGAAATCTGTTACTCTGCAGAAACTACCGCTATTTTAGGACTTGTAGGTAAAGATGAAATTATATAGTTAATAGAATATTAATTACAGAACATGTCATCTCTCTCCATATTTTTCCATGTAAATTGACTCCACCACTAACCTATAAGCTCTGTGGCATGTTTACTCTCTTTCTTGTATAACTAGGTATAAAGCTAAAAAAATATTTTGGAATGCATTTAAAAACAATATAATCAGAAACAATGCAATTTGTTCCAATGGGTCCAAGTCTACTCACCACTCTGCTTCGTGGAATGGCAAAGCTTTAAGTCATCACAAGTCCGAGCTGGATGTTTCTTGGAGCCATCAGGGCTGCGCATGGTTTCAATCTGACTACTGAGTGATTTCAGGGTCGCATGGACTCCTGGATCAGTTTTGTTGGTGTCATCAGGAGCTGCCTGGTCTTCAGTAAACTCTGGAAGTGGATCTGGCATGTTCTCATCATAGTGGCCCATTATATCCCCAAGAGCAGCTGTAAGGTGTCCAGGGGGGCCTGGAGGTCCAGGTGGACCAGGCTCACCAGGAGGACCCTAATTGCAAAGAAATTGAAAGGCTATTGAATATATTGTTTTATGTATTGGATTCCTAAACTTGTATATATACAATGTGACATTGGAAATGGAATGCAATCTCAGGATACTAGGGATCTTTCTGTAAGAAGATGGAGCTGGCCTGTTGAGGCACAGGATTAGAAAAATGGGAAATGATCCCTGTTGTTCAGGCAACGTGTCTGCAAGTCAGCATCTGTGATGAATAAAGAGTAAAGCACACAATATTTGCTTTGATGTCTAAACTAAAAATCCAATACACTTTATGTTAAGGCCAGGCATATATATTCATTCATATCAAAACTATTTGGAGCAGGGTAGCACTAAAATGTTCTAAAAGTAGGTATGGACGCAAGATGAACAAGGACTACAGTCATGATATGGGTGCTGCTTCTGAACAATACCAAGTTAACATCCACAAGAAATACCTGCAAGATTCCCTTTTTGAATCTCTAAATCCTAATCAAGGCGACACAACAGTCATTTTATTAGTTATAGTGCACATAAAAATTCTCCGTATTAAACAAAATTGAAAGAAATTACTTTTAATCCTTTTATTGACTTAAATAAAGAGCTCTCCTTCCAAATGAGATAAATTATAAAAGTGGTAATGCATACGAATTGCCTTCTGTGTCTCACAAGAACCCAGAAACTAGCTGGGTGCTGGTGGCTCATGCCTGGCTACTCAGGAGGCTGAGATCTGAGGATTGCAGTTCAAAACCAGCCTGGGCAGGAAAGTCCATGAGACTCTTACCTCCAATAAACTACTAAGAAAAAGCCAGAACTGGTATTGTGGCTCAAATGGTAGACTGCTAGCCTTGAGCACAGAGAGGCTCAGGGACAATGCCCAGCCCTGAGTTCAAGTCCCAAGACCAGAAAAAAAAAAACCCAGCAACTTGGAAGAACTAGGCAACAATCTAAAGAAATGCAGACTCCACTCCTCAAGAAGCAAGCACAGCCCTGAGATTCAACAGGCTGCATTTCTAACATGGGCTTGGCTACTTTTCTTCATGGCTCCAGACAAGTCATTTAACTTTTCATGTCAATGCTTTGTTATTCTCTCTCTCTCTCTCTCTTCTCTCTCTCTCTCTCTCTCTCTCTCTCTCTCTCTCTCTTTCATCTTGACGATTTCATGCATTCTTTTATTCTAATGTAAAGGGAAAATATTTTTATCTGTCAAATGCCAGTGAAACACAAAAAAAGACAGAAAAATAAGTTTTCTATTCATAGAAAAAAAGAAGCACTCTTCTTGACAATAGGAAACAGAAGCCTATTTACTATTTCCATAGTAAATAATAAAAATTTAGTATAATGGAGTTTCCACTGAGGAGCAAAGACAAAACAGAAGGTAAATCAGACCAGATATAGACCAAAGAGGAAGCAGAAGCTCATAGACACATGTACACCAGTGCTCGCTCAGAGGAAAAACTGGGAGATGTATGAGTCTTTCTAGAAGTTGGAAAAGATACAGACTAATGCACTTGATAGCTTTATAATATCTTCACTTGAAGACTATTAGGAGTTTTCACTGAAATCTTTTCTGAACACTTACAACAGAGAAAAATTCAATCTCATATAATTCATTGTTTTCTAGCATTTATGAAGTAATAAAGAAACATCACAGGTATCTTTGTCATTGAATGCAAAACAACATTTGCATAATTATAAAAATAATCAGAACTTAATAGCTGCTCTTATGTATATCATAAATCAAGGTTTGAGTATCTTGGGTTTCTACTTTATAGACTCTCCAGGTTAAAATGTTTGAAATAGTCACCTGCACAGACTAACTCTGTGTGACTCTTAGCAGAGTCCATTGAGTCTTTTGTATGTCAGGCAACACAGATAGTATTGATGGGAAGCCAATCCACTGGCATCAATGAAATTTCTTGCATGCAAACCCTGTGACTTTACCTCTGGCCCTGCTTCTCCTACACTGCCCCGAACACCAGGTGGTCCAATTGGTCCAAGTGGCCCAGGGTTTCCTTCTTTGCCTGAGGGACCAACTGGACCTGGAGGACCCTGAAAGAAAATAAGATTGTTTTAGGTCTGGTGTAGAAATACTTTGCAATAATTCTGTTCATCAAAGAACTATTTGCATTGTATAGATTTAGTTATTACAATGGTATCTTAGATTTCTTAATAACTAATAATGGTCATGCAGTAATTCGAAACCTTCACAAACTCATCAAACATGAATCATTCATCAATCATGCACAGTCAGAGACCAAAACAGGTTAAAATTGTAATAGGCTAATCTCCTAATTCATTAGTAACAATTATTTAAGCAAATCACAAATAAGTTCAATTACTTTAGAATAAGAACAAAATATGAAGCATTTGTTAGAAGTGAACTTCAAGTACTTACCTCACAAAATAAAACCACATAATAATTGTCTCTACTATTTTCTATTCTATATATGAAATATTATCTTTAGATATATATGTCATATTAATTCTTACAATTTGTTCTAGAATTATTCCTGTAGTCTAAATGATTACATATTCCAATTATCTTTAAGCTCAAAATGACTTAGAAGAGGCAGAATAAACATAAGTGCAACATTTCTAAGTATTTCAAACATGGGTTCCATTTTGAATTATTCCCCAAAGTAGCTTTATTCATATTATTTCTGAGAAAATATTGTACTATTTTTATTGTGAAAATACTATACAGAGGAGTTACAATTACATGAGCAAGGTAATGAGTACATTTCTTACCAAGCATCGCTGCCTCCTCCTTTGTTTCCCCTTCCCATCTCCACCCCAATACCCCTCTTCCCCCCTGCCCCTGCGCCAAAGTTGTAAAGTTCGTTTTCCACATAACATCTTGTACATCTCATTGTTGCAATGGGTCCACCTGTATCTCTATTTAAACAATTTGTTTTTGCCCTTCCCCTCCCCAAATTATACCAACATCAAATACAGTGAAAACAAGGGTTATACCATGGGGGAGGGACATACAAAGCAACAAAGAAATCATCTTATAAATATATTAGAAACAATACCAAGAAAGAAAAACCATTTGACTCTTTATCTTGGGGTTCATTTAGCCTAACATCAACTTATCTGACCATTTCTGCATGTCTTAGACATATACTAGTTATTGCAAATAAGGGAAACCAAGGGACCTATGTTTCTTTGGGCCTGGCCTACTTCACTTAATATAATTTTTTCCAAGCCTTTCCATTTCCTAACAAATGGGAAAATGTCATTCTTTCTGATGGAGGCATAGAATTCCATTGCATATATATACCACATTTTCTAGACGCCCCTCAGTAGATGAATGGATCAAGAAAATATTGTACTTTTAAAAGGATAAAATAAATCTTTATGAATAGATCCAATTTGTCAATTCAAAGAATAAAATTTCAATGAAAATTTAAATGATCCCAAAGTGATTAATTGAATGGCAAATACATACAAGCCTTAGGTGGGAGACTTTAACATGGGCACATGTTATTACATCTAATATGCCATATTTAAGATAGGTCTACTTAAAACCAGTTGCTCTATAGTTTCTCTCATGTATTTGCTGCTAACTTCAAAGAATATGAATCAACTCCATGTTCAGTACCATGCAAATGGTAGTGAAGAATTTGTATTGTATCACCAAAGGAAATATTATTTACTTCTGAAGCTGATTTATTTTGATTACTTACTCTAGGACCAAAAGGGCCAGGGATCCCAGCACTGCCTTGTTCACCATTGGGACCCTATATAAAAAGAAAATTTAAAAACGTTACTAAAATATTTGTATCTTGCATTATTTGTTGACAGTTTTTCTATAAATATATTTTATTGATGCAGCATCATGAACTACTAAGTCGTCAATCTCAGCTATGTCTCCATGCGTTCTCTAATATTAAAGACCATTTTAGAAACATATAGCTTTTTGCTTAAGTTCTTCCCCTCAAAATTATGCCTTACATACAGGTAATTATATTGTGTAACTGGGCATTTACCAAGATAATTTTGAAATTAAAATGAGATGCTTAATGTACTTATCAATAAATATGTGTTAATATACTCGTGTATTTTCACATGCAAGGAGTAATAGCATGTAAAGAAATAACTTACAGGGGGTCCTGGAAGACCCTGAAGACCAGTGAAGCCTCTGTGGCCCTTCTGACCTCGGTCACCCCGATCTCCATGATCTCCTTTGTCCCCTCGAGGTCCTTGTGGTCCCTAGAAGTAGAGTAATGCCATCAATACTACTTTCTTAAGAGTACAACTCACTGAACTTTTAGAGTTGCATTTATTGCAATTTATTGTACATCAATGAATGTATTATAGAGTTGTATTTATTACAATTTTTTGTACTTTATTTTACATGAATGAACATATTTACTTACCTAAATAGCATCATACCCCCAAATTGTGTCTATTTTCTCATGGAGTTGTAGGTGGTCAGTGAAAAAATAATAAGTGCATCATATTGCTTTCTCAAAGATTCAGGGTTTGAACATTTATCTGATGTTCTTACTAAAATGTTATCATTTTAAGTCTGAACTAACATATCAGTTAAACACCTATCACAATTTTAGCTGTTTTTTGTTGTTGTTAGTCATGGGGCCTGAACTCTGGGCCTGGGCACTGTCCCTCAGCTCTTCTGCTTTTTCTGCTTATGTGGTGCTGAGGAATCAAACCCAGGGCCTCATGCATGCTAGGCAAGCGCTCTACCACTGAGCCACCTTCCCAACCAAGCTGAGGTTTTTAACTAAAATATTGCTAACGTAAGTAGATTCTATGGAATGAAACCAAGTATTGTTCTTAAGCTTTCTTGAAGAAGGAAATGTTTGTGAAATCTGTAGATATAAATGAAGTAAATGAAGATGACAGTTGGGAAAGGAGAAAAAAATAAGCACATAAAACTGAAATATCATCAATAAACCACTCTCATTTTTAAATCATCCGTATGGGATCCTTATCAGATCTTCAATATCTGTATCCCAAACTAGAGATCCTGTTCCTCAGAAAATACAGAAGGAAGTCATAATGAGGAATGTTATTTTGTGTTACAAGCTGCACCCATAGAAGAGGTGAAAATTATCTGATAGATCTCAAATGTTTTTTTATTGTTCCTATTATAGTTTTCTCTGAATACTTTGTTTTGTTTTAGATCTTGGCAAACAAAAACAGTTCCATAGATTCAGTGGATCATTGTAAACAGACAAGAGGAGTAAGATTATTTTCTGTTGTCTTAAGGGTTTTCCTAAAGTACCAGTTGACTCACATTGAACAATAGATGGAATCATCAAATCCACTAGCTCTTAGGTACAAGTTTTCCCTTGTGAGTTTGAGTTTTATTTTCCTTATGTGTTTTTAATTTGGATTTCTGTATTGTCAGTCAGTATAACAGTCTTTTTATAATAAAAACAAAGCTGGGTTTCATTCACTATGCAGCAATGTAAAATTATATATCAAAATTAGTCCAAATCTTTTCAATGGAACAGTATAACAAAGCTTTATTGGCATAAATTTAAAGATATAATTTTCTTCCTGAATATGGACTTTGATAAATAAGGGTGAGAACTATTGCTTACTAGCTTGCACATATGAGAGAAACAAAATAGTTAAACATCTGTATAATGATATTTGACCTGCAAGTGATTATAAATACCAAAGAGATCAAAACATAGACAGGAAAGTCTAATTGCAAATGAAGCATGATATTTGAATAATGCTTTTCAAATTACAAAGAGATTTCAAATCGTTTTCTTGTAAGACTTTTTAGCATAACTCATATAAATATAAAGTTATCCTATTATGTACTTGGCTTTTCTTACATTAACTATTTAAAATCTATGATACAGTATTGCTTGTATAGCTTATCCTATGACATATCACAACATAATCTTTGCTTCTGTCTACCTATAACTTAGTACCTGTTGATCAGTCTTTCCCTGTCCTTCTTATTTTTGAATGCTTAGATCATACTTTTTCCATGAAAGTACATTTTAAAGAAGAATACATGTATTTATTCAGAAAAGAAAAAAAAAACATAGGACTTACAGGTAGACCACGTTTTCCAGCTCGACCAGGTGGTCCTATAGGACCTCGAGAACCCTAGAAAAAGATTCACACAAATTAGCATCTAAAAATAGTTATGCATATATTCTATAGACACAGAACTTTAAAGAATGTGCTTTCAGTGTGATATTTGTGTGTGACTTACATATATACTATGTATAATTTATTGAAATTCAATGAATGTCAGAAATGAATGTAAGAAAGAATGTGCTGACTCCAAAACTACTTCTAAAGTAATACATAAATATCACTGAAGCTGATTACAAACTTGTTACTTGCTTAATTTATTCATATTTATTACATTTTCCATGAATTACATCATTCTTAATTATTCAAAATTAGGTATTTTTAAGATGGTAGATTCAAGGGAAAGCTCAAATAGTGTAATTCTTTAGAAAGGGAAAAATCAAAGTTCAGCAAAATAAAACACAAGGAAGCAGATATGGGAGAGGGGTGGGCTGGGGCCAAGGGGAAAGGGATAGACAAAGAGAAGAGGGGGAAAATACAACAAGAATCCAAAGTATATCCTACAAAGAAGAGTAAGGGAAGGGGAAAGTAGGGGAAGAATGGGTGAAAATGTTAAAAGGGATAAGTGACATTGATCAAGATATGTTGTATTCATAAACTGCTGTGTTAAATGGCAGCTCTTTTGTAGAACTATAAGGTAATAACTAAAAGAAAGAAAAGACTAATCTGGGATGTAAATTCGTAATTACCTGTTTATAGGTCTTTGCATGAGTTCATGAGGCAGTGCATATGACTGATGCTTGCATGCATTTGTGTAACTTATGGTGCAGTATATTTTTGTCAGTGTGAAATCAAGTCCCTTCTTACCGGTTCTCCTCTCTGTCCTGCATCTCCAGGTGAACCAACTGGGCCAGGAGTTCCTGGGGCTCCCTGAGAACCAGGCAGACCTGCAGGTCCAGGGTCTCCACGATCACCCTAACATAGGAATAGCATTAAAATTATTCTTTTTATCAGTTATTCCACCACAAAAATATTCTATATATTCATTGTCTATCCACATTATGAAAAATGCCTGTTAAACATTTAATTTCACCCAAGTATTTTCCATGTACATGCTCACTCATAAAGCCACATGGAGAGGAAAAGATCATGTTCCTTTAGTGGTTCCCATCCACCCCTTCATTCCACCTTTTGCTCCCACAGTCAATATAATTAGAGTACAGGAGACCAGCTATTCTCAATCTGGAGTGTTTGTAAACTAACAGTACATAAAGTCTCTCCCAAAAGTGTGAATGAAAGAAAAATTTGAAGGAAATATACCATCCAGATGCCCATTTCACATTTTATGAGATAAAAAACTGATACTATACCATGTGCAACTTTATTATAGGCAATGTCTCAAAGAGTAAATAGTTCTAGGCATTAGATCGTGCTGTTTCTAGAGTACAGGGTTCACTTGAAGTGAAGCTAAGAGGAATTTACAAAGAAAGAGGCTGTTTCTTATTTTATCCAGATGATTTCTATAATCTTATATTTTCTTCTTAAGAAGTCAGAGGTGAGATAATTGTGATGTGAACATGTGTGAATACAATTATTTTACTTAAAATGCAGCCAGATTTCATTCTCTTGCAGGAATTAACAACTACTAGCTGACTGATACATTTAGCAATCAGGATAAATTTTGGTAGCTAAGTTACAAGAAATTGAAGAAGCTAAACTGCCAACTCAAAGGATTTGGGGAAAAAATTCATTTAAAGCCTGCACACATTCAGATTTTTATCAGGAATTACCTTCATTACAACTATTTAACTTTGTGACTTAAAATAAATGAGACAGTGAATTAAAATGAGAACAAGTCTCCATAGATTTCCAAAATTATTTTAGAAGGTACCTCAAGCAAAACTTTCGATTGCATAGCTAGTTTCTTATCAGATCAGGTCTCCAAATTGGAAGTTTTTAGCTTCAAATTCTTCAGCTAATTAGGAATCTTTACAATGGTAGAGTTACTCCATCATAATAGACTTCAGAGAAGCCTGGTGTATAGCTGAAGACAAGTGTGCAATTGCTAAAAGGACTGAACTTTAACCAGAGTTGAAAGAATTTTCAGTTCAGCACATGTTTAATTTTAAAACACATCAGGGAATGTATAGTGTTTAGAAAGCACATGGCTATAAATCATTCACTTTAGAGGGTGAGTAGAGAAATTCATGTCTCACAGCTCTATTTGAACTTTTGTACTTTTGTGAATAATTTTGCAACTTAGAACATTCCATGTGTGTGTGTGCGTGTGTCCTCATAGAGCCTTTATGTTGCCCCAGAAAAGAATACAATATACTCCCTGCTTTTCATAAAAATGCTTTTATAATTTGCCATTTATTTAAGCACTATTGATTTAAAATATTTTTAAAACTTAAGACCTTACAAAGAGTTTTGTTATGGGTTGGACCTGATGGTTCACACCTATAATCCCAACTATTCAGGAGGTGAACACAGAAGGACCAGTGGAAAGACAGCCAGGGCAAAAAGGTCAACATTTATAGGAAATTAGGGATGTGGCTTAAGTTCTGCTGTAGAATCTGAATTTAATTCCCAGAAAAACACAAAGAGACACATGGGGCGGGAGGCTGAGAGTAGCACTATCATCAGAAGGAAAAACAGAGCTGCCTGGGCCCTATGAGAAGAAAGTTTAGATTTTTAAATATAATACTAAACTCTCAATGATTTCAGACTTAGGTAAACCTATATTTTTATAACATTGCTCTTACACGTTCTCCAACAGCTCCATCCCGTCCTGGGGTCCCATCATTACCAGCTGGACCCTAGGTAAAACAATATTTGAAAAATGATTAACTGGGTAGTTTTAATTAAAACTTTCATCCCCAATTGTCAGAAAAGTAACTACATATTTAACACTTCTCTTTTGTAAACTTAAATCACCATATGAAAAATCTCAGCAGAAGAAAGATGTCTATCGTGTTCCTAATATTTTCAACATTTCCTAACAACCATTTCTGGTTCATAATTTTAAACAAATCCTTAACTACCTTGAAATAAGCAGAGCACAATTAAATTATTACCATTTTATATTTTGTCTGTCTTTTCAATGAATGTTGTTTTCACTTCTTGAGTTTCTCCAATGAATATTCTTATAGTTTTGGAATCAAGTAACGGTTTTCTGGTTATATTGAATTACTTTCAAAATGTATGGCCTTCTTCCCTTATTTTATTTTGATTGATTTCTTAACAATGCTTTTATTGTTTAATATATTAGCCCTGAAAACTACTGATTAATTTTTTCAGGAGAGTGTCACTGTGACTCACTCATTAAAGTATTTCACAGAGGGTATTACCACCTTTAAGTTCTCGAATTACCTGTCAAAAACTGATTTCCACCCCCAAAGTGTCTAAAAGGACAAGACATCCATAATGCTGCTTTATAGCAACACTTAGCAAAATGTCCTCTACTTGCTGTGCCCTTTTTACAAACTTTAACAGTCACATTAATCCTATCACCATAAGAGTTGGCAATTTTGATAAATATCCATTGCAAAATGAAATAATAACAAAGGAGATGAATGGGCACGTCCTTTCACCTTCAGAACAATTTGACAAAAGCTAAGTCACTAAGTCACTAGTTCTAGATGAGATAAATATGCGACAAGTTTTAAAAATTCTAAGTTATTTTTACATGCAAAAGAAAAAAAAACTGTCCTCTTGACACCCAGGTAACAAAATAGAGCTATTTTCAATGAAGTACTCACTTCTGGTCCGGGTTCTCCAACAGGACCATTTGAGCCAGGGGGTCCCACAGGCCCTGGTGGACCTTTATCTCCTGTTGCACCAGTTGGTCCTACTTTTCCTGGTGTGCCCTGAAAGTGAAATACAAATAACTCAACCACTTCTGAGCAACCAAAGGTGACTCATTGTTTCCTGTATCAATAACTGTACACTATCCTACAGAATTCATGCATGACTTTTTATTACTTCCCTTGTAGCATATCAGAAGAAACAAAAGAAATTCTGTACTTCTAGAATCTGTATCAAGAGATACAGCCCTTATTATTCTGTTGCTCTAACTTAACTCCTCATTTGATGGCTTCAGATTTCCACTTAGGGTTCTCTCCATAGTGCTCTCTGTCTCTCCCTCCCTCCTTTCTTCTCTCTCTCTCTCTTTCTCTCCTTCCCTCTACCTCTCCTCCCTCTCTCCATTCAATATCAATATAGAATATAATTATTTTCTTCCCTCAGGCATTGTAAATACTTCTCTGATAAAATTTAGTCTCTTAAAAACCAACATTAAATCAAGCTATCAAACTTTCATCTATACTCCAACAATATGACATTCTTAGACACCCTCAGGAAAAAAAAGAGATTACCTCCAGAACCCTTCTTTAGAGTTCATCCCACATTCACCTCTAATACTACTTTAGCTCAACTACTTCTTCTCTTTGATGGTTTACTGTGAAATAGGAGTTCTTTTCTTAAAGCTGTTTATTTTAAAAGTTTCTACCTGCTCATCAGTTTAGTCCCATTTCTGGCTTTATTCGTCTTTTTTAAAATTCTTGAAGAAAGATTTTAAACTCATCAAAAAACAAAATCCTTATGTGCCTACTTCTTTAGCCTCAGGGTTCAACAACTACATTTTCAAAAGATTTTGCAAGGTGGTTAAGCTTTTACCATGTAAGATCAGATGGTTTTTAATATACTCCGAATTTGTGTCACTTCATAACAGTTTAATCTATTCAGTTAAAAAATCAGTTCTCTCAGAACCAATTGCACTGCATATGTAAAGTGAAGTATTGAGAGACAGCTACTCACCGCGGGGCCAGGCAGGCCTGGCATGCCCCGTTCTCCGCGCTGTCCAGGCATGCCCACAATCCCTCTTTGCCCAGTAGTTCCAGCTGGACCAGGTGGACCATCTGGACCCTAATATTGATGATAAACTATAATTACTACTTCTACATAACAGAGCCATATCTACAGATTTGACAGTAGATTGATTATGGTTTGATGGATAATTCAATATTTACAAAGTTCTCTTTCACAAAACTACAATAGATAGATATCGTTTATATACTTGTACAACTATATACATATAGTTTATTTTTTTATTTTTGCCAGTAATGGGGCTTAAACTCAGGGCCTGGGCCTGTCCCTCAGCTCTTCAGCTCAAGGCTAGCTCTCTACCACTTGAGCCCCAGTGCCACTTCCGTTTTTCTGGTGGTTTATTGGAGATAAGAGTCTCACACGCTTTTCCTGCCCTGGCTGGCTTTGAACCATGATCCTCAGATCTCAGCCTCCTGAGTAGCTAGGATTACCGGTATGAGCCACCGGTGCCTAGCTTTACATATAGTTTATGTACATTTCACAAAACTATAAGAGATGATAGATATTACAGTTTATATACCTAAACATATATGCACAGTCACAGCTGTAGTTCAGTCTCTAACATTATTTAAAGGTAAAAACATTTCACTAGCTGCAAAGAATTTAATAAATAATATGAATTTTGACTGAAAAAAGCTGGAACTATTCAAAGAAATATTCTCCTCCTAAAATCAGAAATTTAAAGAGTTAAGAAATAGTATGTCTCTAAATATATCCTAAATATATTAATATTTAATGGTATTTAGTCACTAAAAATATGTTTGATTGTCTTCACATACTAAATTTAACAAATAATATTTTTGTTTAGTTCTTTAAAATCTATGCTCATTACTTTTCCAAAAATATTTATACATATTTTTTTCTTAAAACAGATTGTTTGAATTAAAAATCCTATAATTCACCTAAAAGAATTTAGGAACATACCCAGTTAATTTACCAGGTTCTTTGGGAAAGTGATTTTTATATAAGTATTTCATAAAAATATGGCAAGTGGAGATGGCATAAAACAAAGGTACCACACTTACAGGCTGCCCATCTTCTCCGGGGTCTCCCTTGTCTCCTGGGCCACCAGGCGGCCCTGCTGGTCCTCTATCTCCCACTCGTCCATGAGAGCCAGGGTCCCCACGAAGCCCTGGAGGTCCCTCCTTCCCTGGCTCTCCGATAGGCCCTGCAGGTCCTGGAGCTCCCTGGTTTAACACAGGAAAGAACATCAAGGAGGGAAAAGTAAAAGCCAGGTCAAAGGGATTGGCCACAGGCCTCATCTGCCTTTTCTGCAGATGGCCAAAATTTTAGGTTCATTTTCCCTGTGAGATAATCTGTCACTATGTAGACAGAAACAAAACAAATCATAGCTGTGGATTTGTACTCCAGAAGAAAATCTGGGTTTCATTATCAGTGAAATTAAATTGAATTTTCAAATGTAAATAAAGCTCTGTTCCACATATGGAGATAGAACATTGTTTCTGTCTGATTGGGTCTTACAATAACATTTATTAAGGAGAGTTTCAGAGATGGAATTGTTTTGTGCACTTGATACTATAAATGTTGGGTATAGCTGATATTGGGACTAAGAAGGATTTTCAAAATAAGCTCCTCCCAGAAATATGGGATTTTCAAACATTTTTGACGAAATAACAATGAAGTATTGCAAAAGAGCTATAATCAGATAAATACTTAAATAAAAACAATAGCTCAAATGTGTAGGCATGAGTGTGTGTGTGTGTGTGTGTGTGTGTGTGTGTTTGTTTTCATTCTATTACAAATGACTTGAATGACTAATTCTACTTACAGCAGGACCTGGGGGTCCAACTCTGCCTGCAGAACCAGGAAATCCTGTAGCACCCTAGGAATATAACATGATAGGGCCAATTTTTAAAAGTAGTATTTATTAGTTATACGTATTTTCCTAAGTTCTACCTTTTCAGAGGAGAACTTGGGTCATGAGAGTCTCTACTACATTGTAATTATATGTTTAATTTTTCCTCATGCAGTATATTTTTTTGAGAAAGAATCTGGATTGGTTTGTAGAAAGGGCACAGATTTTCCCATTCTATTCTTCTTTAACTTGGATATTCACCAGATACTTCCCAGAATCATATAATGCAAACGTTTTCACACTATCTGTTTACCCTTTTGCTTAGGTAAGACATTATTTATTTCACACACGAAGCAGCTGGCTATTTCAAATTACAAAATGATCTCCATTGTAAGTATTCTTTTGCTCCACTGTATAGGTAATGCATTTAATCCTTGTTAAAGTTTCATGAAGATTAACTTTGATGAGGCAAGGAAGTAATAGACAATGTGGATGAGTTGAGCCAATTCTCAATAGTATGAAAGCAACTTACTGGTGGACCCTGGGTTCCTCTACCACCTTTCAGCCCTGGAACACCATGAGGACCCTACATAAAATAAGCAAAAACCCATCAGACACCTACTGCACAATAGGCTTAATGGACACTCTAACATCAGAACTAGACTCAAATTATGCCTTTTGGTTCATTTGGTTTTTTTTCTAACTTACATGAGGGCCAGGGGACCCTGCAAGCCCTTGTGGTCCAGGAGATCCGGCATCTCCTTTCTGCCCTGGCTCTCCAGGTTCTCCCTTCACTCCAGGTTGTCCATCAGGCCCCTATGTTCAATCACAGAGATGAACAACTGATTGTAAGATTAACGCACACATTAATTACCATTCGTATAATATTAATATACCATTTGGTTGCTTATTGTGAAATGATGCTTGTAATCAGAATTAAAGCATAATAGAAGAAAATAATAATAAAATATTTAGATAGTCTATACTGGCATACTTTATTTTTTTATAACAAATAGGTAAGCTCAAACACTGTAAACATTTGTGTGCTACCTGTGAAAAATATATTGAAAATGAGAATATTGCCTAGAAAACTGTTCAGAAGTTTTAATATAACTTAAAAATGATAATAATATTTAAACTACTTTATATACAAGAACATTGTTAATTTGCAAATTAGAGATATGTGAAAAGTATACCTGGGGTCCCGCAAAACCAACAGCCCCGGTTGGGCCATTTTCACCACGAGAACCCTAAGAGAAAATAAAGATTATTAAGCTTTCATACATTTATTATTGTAAATAAGAATATTTTAAAATAGGTTTATAAAAATTTTGTGCAGTTAACTGTATCTATAGAGACATTAGATGCATTGATTGAGAAGTATAATTAAAAATGATACTAATGTATAGGTTATTAAACAAGAGTTCATAGTTCACGAGTCTCAAAAAGTTTCTTAATTATTTGGCAAACAAATTGTCCATCTAGACTTCATACCCCCAAATTATTTTAAAGTGTAATTCAAAAACTAAAAGTTAAAAGTCATGGAAAACTAAAAGTTAAAAAGCATGGAAATTAGGGGCTGGGAAGGTGGCTCAGTGGTAGAGCGCTTGCCTTGCATGCCTGAGGCCCTGGGTTCGATTCCTCAGCACCACATAAGCAAAAAGAAAAATGCCGGAAGTGGCTCTGTGGCTCAGGTGGTAGGGCGCTAGCCTTGAGCTGAAGAGCTAAGGGACAGCGCCCAGGCCCAGAGTTAGATAGATAGATAGATAGATAGATAGATAGATTGATTGATTGATTGATATAAAAATAAGCAAATAAATAATGAATTGTTTGGGGTGGCTCATTTTCATAATAAAGAATATCAAAATACTATTACTTACAGGATTGCCACGGGATCCAGGTGGACCAACTAAACCTCGAGGACCAGGTTCACCCTAGAAAGTACATTTTTGGTGGTCATTGTCCCAAGCAGTAGGAAACAAAACCATTGAACAATACTGGTACCATGTGTAGATAGATATGGGAGATAATTCTGAGATGGCCTTTCTCAGACCCAGAATTTTCTGGAAGAGGAAACATGAGGTTTCCTCATTTTAAGTATACAAAATAACAGTTTGACTTACCTTTTCTCCAGTTGGACCTGCAGGGCCTGGGGGGCCCAAGGGACCAGGAAGACCCTGTCAATTAACAAAACATAAATATATTAGAAAAAAGATTACATAAAAATGGTCACTTTTAAGCAAACAAAAAAGAGTATATAAAAATTGTCATTTTTAAACAAATAAAAGTTATTATAATTTACCTGCTATTTTTAGTCATTATCTACAATAAATAATATAAGCTGTACAGTTTCCAGAATTTCTGTTTGGTCCAATACAATTTCCAGATTTTTTCTGCAGAATGTTACAAGCTCACTTAGCTTAACATGAATACATGAGCTGCTTTTCAATATTAGTTATCCTTAGACAATGTTTCAGTTTCTTAGTCTGTTTAATTTTGTTAACTTCTACTTTGAAATTTGAATATACATTATAATATCTACTTTGAATATAGGTTATTTGAGCAGAAATCCTATTCTTAGTCTGTTAATATTTATTTGAAATTTGAGTATATGCTATTGCTTTGTAATCTACTCTTAAATCATATAACAACAGACATTAACTGATTTAAAAATGAAGTCTTGCTAATTTCATTTCTTTCCTTCTTCCCTTCCTTTCTTCCTTCTTGTCTTCCTCTCTCTTCCTTTCTTCCTTCCTCCTTCCCTCTCTCTTCCTTCCTTCCTTCCTTCCTTCATTCCTCCCTTTCTTCCTCTATCTCTCTCTCCTTTTTTATTTTGCCAGTCCTGGGGCTTGAATTTAGAGCTGGGAACTATCCTTGAGCTTCTTTTGCTCAAGGCTAGCACTGCACCACTTGATGCACAGTGCCACTATGGCTTTTTCTGTATATGTGGTACTGAGGAACCAAACCCAGGGCTTCATGCATGCTAGGCAAGCACTCTACCACTAAGCTACATCCTCAGAACCCCCCACTTCCTTCCTCCCTCCCTCCTCTCTCTTTCTTTTTTTTAATTAATTCATTCCAGAAAGAATTGGAACAGTTCATATTTCTAAAACATACTTACAACTAACAGCAAACTATGTCTTACTGAACAGAAATAGTTCACGAAATAGCAGAAACTGTTCCAGAAAATACTGGATGTTTGAGCCACTGTGACTAATCATACAAATATGGAATTCAATCATATTTGTAAATATTGTTCTTCTAGTCTGATTATCGTTGGAATGGCAAATGTCGGCTAATTTTGAAGACTTAAAGCCTATTAAATGTCTGTTTCTAAAAGTGTATTAATTTTTTGCATTAACCATCTCTCTTGACATTTAAATTGTTAAATTTCTTTATTGATTAAAAACATTAATAATTACTCACAGTAGTGTAATTCTGTTATCTTGTACATTGAGAAACACATCAGAACTTCCATTACTATACAATTCTCTTAGCCTGTGTTGGAAGGAGTTTCACACCAACTCATTTTAAATGATCATTGAATATAAATTATAATGGTTATAAAGAAAAAAATAGAGTGAGCTCATTTGTTTAAATCACCTAATCCAAAGGCCAAAAAAAAAGGTATGTATTATGTTGGTCTTTCAACAATGACCTAATCCTGTTTACTTGGAAATCAAGATTAGAATGACGGCTTTTGAGATTTGGTGTGAATCAGACAAAGATTACAATTAATTACAGTAGGACAAAAATTAACTTCATTTTGAAAAACTGAAGCAAGTTCATAAGATCATTAGAATGTTTTCTAGCCCAGCTAGAAGAATGCGCATGTCTCACTCACCCTTGCTCCGTCATTTCCAGCTGTTCCTTCAGCACCTTTCTCTCCTATACCACCCTGAAAAACCACAAGAAACACCATTTGTTACTTCAATTGGCTGTTCCCTACGTGTATGAAAAAACCTTCCTGAGGAGAAGAGCTTAAAGGCTGTCTTCATGGTTGTTTCTTGAATCTACAATCACATCTGTGCATTTTTTCAATAAATATGTAAGGAGAATAAATATACAAATAACTTGGAATTCACTGATAGCTTGTTGATAAAAGTAAAAGCTTGCCCCCAAAATCATTATCATTAGAAAGTCTAAAGAATGAACTGGAAAATAAAACAGACTTACTCTGTCACCCTTGGGTCCAGGAGTTCCCGCAATTCCTCTTTCTCCTGGCATACCCTGAAGACCAGGTGGGCCTGTATCTCCAACGGTCCCGGATGGACCCGGGCTGCCCTAATGCAAACAGGTAATGAGTGACAATTTCAGTATGTTAAGACTGAACTATATGGAATTGATGATTTTGTAGATTTAAAAAAAAACAGTTGGATGTCAGAAATTTCACATAGTTTGGCTTAGTACTTGTGCTTTGCATTATGGAAGTTTGTCTCTGAGCTGAAGTTTTGAGATTAAAAAAATCTGAATTGTTTTTGGTTTATGTTTCTATTTTTTTCTTGAGAGAAAATTGAACAAAAATTAAAATTAAAATAATGTGTTTTTCTTTTGTTCACTATATATAATGATACTAATAAAGAAGGTAGATCTTATTTATACATGTATTTATTTGTGTGTGTGTGTGTGTGTGTGTGTGTGTGTGTGTGTGTGTGTGTGTGTGTATTCTGATCTCGAGACTTGAAGTTAGGATGAGCACTGTCCCTGAGCTGTTTGTTGTTATTGTTATTTGTTTGTTTTTTCTAACAGCTAGAACTCTCCAACTAAGCCAGAGATCCATTTCTAGGTTTTAGGACTGAATTGGAAATAAGAATCTCACAGACTTTCCTGCCCAGGCTGGATTTTCAAACCATGATCCTCAGATCTCAGCCTCCTAAGGATTATAAGCATGAGATACTACCTTCCAGATAAGAAAGATCTTGTATTTGATGAAAAGAAAGATTTCAGTTTTTTCTTTAGGGGGCCTGCAGTATTTAGTTGCTTTTCCAGATAACTTAGTGATTAAATTCAACTTAGCTTATTCAATTGTTCGGGGCCCTAAAGGTATTAAGGATTCTCATATTATCACAAGAAAAAATTCTACTTCAGTTATGTATACTAAAATTGGAGATATTATCTTCTATCAATCATGAAATAGAACTTCAAAGGAAAGGATACTGATTTTTGCCTTATGATGTATTATACTTTCAGACTCAAAAAGTGACTATTTTTATATAGAAAGTAGAAAGTAGAACTTTGGGAACCAAACACAAGGAAAATGGAACATGTGATTAGGAATACCTCCTAATAAATTATGCAATTTTTCTCTTTTTGTCTCTGCTTATTCACGGGAGTTTTTAACAAAAGTTAATATCCCCAATAAGCATGTATAAGGGACTTAATCATTAAGTGCCCAACACCATGAGAGTCATCCCAGATTTTTTAAACTCTCTTTAGTTGCCAGTAAAAGTTCTAGTTAGGCACTAATTAAAAATGTATGGATTATGTGATTTTTTTTTGTTTCTTTGGTATGTTCCTCCCCCACAGCAGAACCTCTATTTTCCCTGGATTTGATTCTGGTGCCCTGCATCTTGTATATACATTTTTCTAACTTGGGGATGGGAAGGGGAAAAACAAAATGCTTAAATAGGGATACAGGCTGACCCATTGTAACAATGAGCTGTACAAGATATTATGTTGAAAATGAACTTTACAACTTCAGGGGGAAAGCGAGGTGAGGGGGGGAATAGTTTGGGGGAGGGAGGAAGGGATGGTAGGAGAAAAACAAAGGAGTAGGCAACAGTGCTCGATAGGAAATGTACTCATAACCTTACTCATGTAACTGTAACCCCTCTGTACACTATTTTTACAACAAAAAAGTATTTTTTAAAAAGAGCCTGGCTTTGATAGGCAGCTGAATGAGTGAATGAATAAGCAATGTGCAGGATCACCTATTCTAAAATAATGTAATTCAAATAAATATCTGTTTCTGACCATTTTTTCTTTAAAAAATTATGGAAAGAGAAAGTGATAAAATTGAGTCATCTTGGAAAACCAAGAAATACCCATTCTAGTACCATCCAGTGTTTCTTATAGAAAAATGTTTTAGAAGTTTACAACATTGAGATCATCATTCTACTTACTTTCGGCCCATCGGGACCATGTCCCCCGGCCATTCCTTTCTCACCGGGGAGTCCAGTTATCCCAGGTTCTCCTCTTTCTCCAGGATTGCCTCGCTCACCCTAACATAACATTACAAAGTTGACACAATCACAATTCCATAGCTAAAAATGGGTCAAAATATTTCTGTAACATAACTTCTCCTAATAGAGAAAAATTTAGAAATGGCTCATTACTGAAGTTCTATTTTATTATTTTAGTGCTAAGTCATAAATTTAAAGAGTATGGTAGAGTATCTTGAGATAAAAAGAGTATCTTGAGATAAAGTATTTCTTACAAGATGATTTCCCTCTAGCCTACAAATAGAATGCTCGAATAAAGCCCCCTTTAAGATTAAAGATGCCTTTTTAAGTTGAAGGGAAAACACAGTGAATTATGAAACAAAATTACTTACTCTAGGTCCTAATGGGCCAACTGCTCCAGGATCTCCAGGAACACCCTATAAATTTGATTTTTTTAAAAATGAAGGGAAAAAAAGCTTTGAGCTAGTTTTTAGTCATTTATTAGGAATCTTTCCAGATCATGCATTCAACTGTTATTAGTGTACTATTAGAAGGCTAATATACTTTCCTAAATGAGGCAATATTGTATATAATAAATAGAAGCATATTTGAAGGAAAATGTATATTACTTGAACGTTTGACTTTTGGAAAGAGAAAGGTAAAATAATTCTCTCACAAATATAGAGCATTAGATTTGTTTTGTTTTAGAGACAAAAGAATATATTCTATTTGTTTCCCAATGGAATATGAAAAAGTTTAAACAGAGGGAAGGAATAGAAAAGTCAAACATCAGCTTGTCATTCAAAATAGAACTGATTCAATTATACTTAATTTAGTAAACTTTTCTCAAGCATATAATGTATACAAAGAAACAGCTCTCCTAGGAATTGTGAATTTAAACTAGTATCGTCAGCGAAGTCTAAACTAAAACTTTTTGCGGGGAGGGGGTCGATTGTAGGGCTTGAACTCAGGGCCTGGGTGCTGTTTCTGAACTTTTTTGCTCAAGGACAACACTCTACTGTAATTTTGAACCACAGCTCTACTTCTGGTTTATGGTAGCTAATTGGAGATAAGAATCTTACAGCCTTCTGATATGGCTTGGCCTGACAATTTCATGGATATCCTAAAATCCAAATCTGATGGTGTTACTCCCAATTAATACCCCTTTCATCACTTTTCCATTACTCTAGCAATGAAGAACAAATGGAAACTTTCTATCTGATCCCTGATTCACAACTCCAGTGTCAAATCTACCCTTTTCAGGATTACGCACTCTTGATTTACTGACAAGTTTTATTGATGGAAATCGGTCAGCAAACTTTTATACTTACTAGTCTCATTTCCTAGAGTACTATCACTTTCAGATTTCCCATCATTAATAATTCACATTTCTCTAAACTCTCAATTCTGATTTAAATAAATCTTCTATGTTTCCACATAGATAGAACCTCATTTACTACTGCCTTTAAAACATGTTGCTATTGTATCTGTCTTCCCTATATTCTTTCTCTTACTGTTTTGTAATTTAGGACAAGGTCCTTATTCAATTTGATCAGGTAGAAAAGACTGGTATTTAGTAAGCCAAATCCATGGAATAGGCTTGATAAATAGTAACGAACAAGTAAATTATTCAGAGAAAATAAATTTATGTACCAATAAAATTGTAGAAATGAGCAGTTATATATTTTCCTAACTGCAATGTCAGCTAGTACAACTGTAATTATGATGCAATACATATGAGAAAAGACAACTTCTGTTCCAATCATATCAGCTGTATGATTTTGGGAAAGTTATCTAACATCTATGTGCCTCGTTTTCCTAGTCTATAAAGCTCAAATAATAATACAACACAGAACATAGGAAGAGATACAACACATAAAGAAAACAGAGCTTCACTTCAAACACTCATATGTTGTTCCAACCATCTACTGTTTTCATATTAGTATTCTAACATTATTACTATGATGATGATTATTTAAAATTATACCTGGTCACCTGGCTTCCCCCCTTCACCAGGAGGCCCTGGGGGTCCAGGGAGACCCTAAAAGTAAGAAAACAAAATTTTGATGCTATGAAAGATTCACAGATTACCAATGTCAAAAGTTCACCTTTTATAATTTATACAGACTTCACTTCAAGCAAGTGGACATGTAAAGCTTTAAAAAGAATACTCTCTATACACATTAAGAAATAAAATACACTTATGAAAAGACAGAGCTAGTCTATTGATAGGGTGAGATTTTCATTTAATTTACACGCAATTTGCAAAAAAAAAAAAAAACTATAGCATTAGGATACTTCTGTTCTACAGATCCAAGAAACAGTTATCTGAGCCTACTGAAATATCACTGGAAGTCAGTTCTGAAATTTTTTTTCACAAATTACGACTACTAATGCTGTTAAATAATTAGTAAGTACAGAATATGTAGCAAATAATGTTAATTTGTCAAAAATTTTCATGATTATTCCAATAAAACTAGATATAGCTTATAATAATAGCAAAATGGTTCAGATATATGCACATTCTATTACTTTCAATTTAATAATTTGGGCTTACTCAGTTTCCAAAGAAAGTCAATTTGTCATATTGGCACAACAATGTTTGATCTTTATCCAGTTGTCTATTCTGAAGTGTGAGTGATTTGAAGAGTTGAGAAATTTCACATCACTTGATATTACTTTTTTGTATTATAAAAGGCATTCAAAACCCATTTAATTCAAGAAAAAAATAGAAATCAGAGTTACCTGAAAGCCAGTGGGGCCTGGAGGGCCCTGCTCTCCTCTTTCTCCTGCGAGACCCTAAGTCAGGAATTAACAGAAACCATAAATAGCGTCAGATAGTTACACATGCTTTTTGTGTCTGTGAATATTGAAGTGTTATGGATCTCTTCTTTACCCCTGACTCATGCTTCCTAAGTTCACTGGATAATAAATAATTAACAAGAATCATCCAATGTTATCATCTCAAGTCCCTGCTGCTAAAAATATACCCTCTAAAACCAGGGAAAGTCTGATGGTACATATTTACTTTTTATGTAAATCTAAAATGTCATATGCCAATTGTAAATATGGAAAAGTAGAATTGGAAAAGCCTTTGTTGTTATATAGATATATATCTATTAAAGGGTAATTAATATTTCCATTGTTTATTCTAAGAATTATTAATCATGATTTCAAAACTAGGATGACCAAAGAAAACAAAGAAATATTTTAGAAAGATATTTAAACTGCTCCACCCAAAAACAAATAAATATGCCAAAATATTTCTGACATTTAAAATCCTAAAATGAAAACCTAACCTCATAGCATGTTATGCTTTCAAAACCAGCCAGTTTAAATAACTTTCATAGGCTATGTTATTGGAAGGGTCTAGGTATAATCCCATGTTTAAATATTTTAAATAAAATACATTATAAAATATTATTAGCAAAACATATTTTCCTTGGTATATTCTTCAACTATGACATATGATGAAGTACCTTTTTGACATTAGAGTTTTAAAAAATAGTTTTATATGACACGTATAATTTTATCTAGAAAAGCAGATGATCGCAGAATATAAGCTATAATTAAAAATCATCATCAAATTCATTCTCATTCTTTTCCCTCAGTACTTATTCATGAGTAATATTTTGAATAAGAACCATTATAGAGATTAGACATATACACATTGCCATTTAAGAGATCACATACCGGGGGACCCACAGGACCGGAAGGGCCAACTTCACCATCTTTGCCAGGAGCACCCTAGTAACACACAGGGATAATCTGTGACATGAGGTGGAGAGAATTTGTGTAGATTTTTGCATTTGTTATTCTTTAAATGAACATAGAAAGTTACCCTCTGCCCAGGAACACCAGCATTTCCTGCTTCTCCAGGCTTTCCAGGGTCACCCTAATTAACAAATTGAAAATATTCAAAATTATATTCAATCAGTTCATTGAACTTGCTAAAAATATATCTTGATCTCCAAATGAGGATTCTGATGAGATGGTTAACATTCTACATCATACTCACACTGCTACCTTTGGGTCCAGGAAGACCCATACTCCCAGGCTGCCCTCTGATTCCTATGGAGCCTGGAGGCCCTGGTCGGCCATCTTCCCCTGAAGCACCCTACAGCATTAATAGAAAGCATATAAGTGACATATATAAAATTCTCCATAGATTCACCTTGCACACACTGTTACTTGTATTTACTTACTATAAATATATATGTTTGTCTACTATATACATGTGCAATTTCTTTTTACTAGTATACAGTCATCACACAAAATAAAAGTGTTCATTATGAGATTCTATTCATGCATATAATGAATTTTGATCATATTTACCCACTCTACTATTCTTTCCTATCCCTTTCCTAATTTTCCTTTTCCCTTCTACTTCTACTTACGTAATCTCCCTTTTGCTTTCATGACCTTATTCCTTATGTTTTCCAGCCCCAGATTGAACAAATGAGAGAAAACACACATTTGCCTTCATGAGACTGGCTTATTTCACTCATATAAATTTGAAATTATTCCATGTTTTTATCTCAATGAATCAGAAGTGTTGAATGTCGTTTGTTTATTAGAGAATTGCTGAAGTACTGAGAGTATTTAGAATAGAGGATATGGTACACCTAAGTCTCATCTTCACATTGCTTAACATCCCCATACTCACAGGAGTTATTTTCCTTCTTTCATGTACTCTTCTTTGTGGTAATGAATGTTTAGGATTCCTAGTTTACACATTCTATTATAAGGGAAGGTCTCAGAATACACAAGCTGTCAGCATTCATACCTACTTATCTCTTCAACATGCAAAATTGGAAAGATGCCAGGAAATAAGACTATTACTAGTAGAATAATTTTTCCAGTGTTGAAATATATCATTTCAACTTTTCCACTGGAGAAATTTCAACCTTAAGCATTCACCTCAAATTTTATCTATATATTTTTAACTAAAAATACAGAGATTCTAAGAATTTGTTTCTAGTGAGGACTTAAATATATAAACTTAAAATATGTAAACATGACCAACATCTTCATGATCAAGTAAATATGAATTTATTCTGTTCAAAAGGCCAAAGCTTTTATTTAAGTCATTTACCAATGGTCCAAGTTTTCCTTCAGGACCTTGCACACCAGGATTTCCTGTCAGACCCTGAAAATGAAAAGCAATTGTCAATTTGCTGATGAATGAATGGATGTACAGACTCTAACCAAGAAATGTAATGTTGTATTGTTGACAACTAAATAGAAAGTCCCTTTTGTAGTGCAAGTAACTTTCAAATGTAATTTTGTTAAATGAAACTATTCAGGAAACTTATCAAGAATTCTGTGTCAAAGATCAAACCCATTTTTCAACAATAAATGTAAAAATTCAAAACAACTTTTCCTGCTGTCAAGTGATAAAGCTATTGACATATATTTCTTTGAGAAGGGAAATTAACTGTGCTTTGTATACATAACTCAACTAACAAACCAATATCTAAAAATATATTAGAAAACATGAAAACAAATGTTCCATGTAGTAAAAACAAACTAATTTTTTTATAATCCCAGAAAACTACAAATTTCCATGCTCAGGAGGATTTCTTCTGGGGTGCCGGTGATGTGCCAGGTAATAGCAGTGTACTCACCCGAGCACCGGGAAGTCCAGGTTCACCCGGACGCCCTGGGTCCCCCTGTCCTCCTTTGGGTCCTGAAGAACCCACAGGACCCCGTTCTCCTTGAGCACCCTATTCCAAAGCAAAGTGGACAAGTTAGGATAAAAGGGACACAGGAAACAAAAGCAAATAGAGGTTAAAATATACACTAAAATATAAATAATTTCTCACTGAACATTTGGTTATAGCTTGCATTCTTTATAACACCATTTTTCCCCTCACTAAGTAATGAAATCTGGAATTAAAGCTTCATTCAAATAATTGAGTTTTCCTTAAAAATCAGAACTTTGAAAGGGTCTAAAATTTTAACTAAAGGATATTTTCTTCTCAGGAATTTCTATAGAAAGTATGAAAACAAGATCCCATTTTCTTCTGACCATCATCTTTTGTACCTAGAACTCTTCTTAGGGAAAAAATTACCAAAGACATGTAGATAGGCCTGATCTCTGCATCCAAAGTCTTTATAGAACTAGACTCAAGTGGTTCAGTTCCATGTCATCCACACTGAAAGATGGAAATTTGTGGAACACTAGTATCAGCAAGAGTGTAGTAATCTCACCTTTGGTCCAGGTAAGCCATCAGAACCTGGAAAACCACGATTGCCAGGAGCACCCTACAAAGTATCAAGATGGGATTCTTAATTATTGCTGAGAGCTTTGTAATGAATGTGTTGTTTTTTACTTTTAGCTCCTAAGTTTTAGCAGTAATGAAACCAACACAACAGATAAGTATGAGGAAAAAGAATCTGATAGAAAAAATTCAAATTTTGAGGAATATGTTAGTACTAAATGTTTGTGTTTTTTTTTTTAAACTCGAGAACCTTGCTCAACTGGTGCTCTATCACTTTCCTGCTAGCCTGATTTTTGCTTGACTTTTTGGAGATGAGTCTCCCAGATTTTTCTTTCCAGACTGGCTTTGAATTAATATCTTCTGGAACTCAACCTTTCAAGTAGCTAGGGTTACAGGCATGAGACACTGGTGCATGGTTGAAATCAAGAAATATTCCTCATAATTCATTGTAAAATTAAACACAAAGGAAAACTAATATGAATTTTGAGTCCAAATCACTACCTATAGGTGTTAACAACATACATTAGTATTGTCTTGTATTAGAAGCCATTGATTTCTCTGAAACTCTGTACAAATGTGAAATTATTGTTGTTTTCAGACTTGTTTTCTTACATGCTAGTCACAGCAAACTCATTTAATTTTCAAAAGTGTCAAATCCTGTGCTTCCCTCCCCCCCTCACAGCTCAGCAGTTACCAATTTTCTCTGCTAAAAATGTTTCCTCCAAGTTCCTTTTCAGGTTCATCTTGTTCATGTTTCAGCCAAAATACTGTCTTCGAGTAGGACTCTATTTCTTAACGATCTAACAATATAACATCATTTTACTGTCTTACAACTGAAACTACTCTACATGATGTCATCCCATTTTTATCAAATGTATACAGCACCTATTATTATTATTGTTTTATTCATCTGTTGATTTGCTGTATGTCTCTATTGAAATAAACTCATTACTAGTCTCTACCACAGGCTTCATGAACATATCCTACGCTGCAAACTGGCAGGCATTGGACCAATAGTAGCTGAACAAGTCACAAGTAGACAGTTTAGATGCCGAAAAACCATACTACACCCTTCAAGGCACCTGTGTCCTTTCTCTTAACTGCTTTAATTTTCTTTATTACTCAAAATTTATTCCTGCAATTCTCCCACAACTATAGGGACATGTTGTATTGTTCAAGTTTACCCTTTCTCCCATTGGGCCTGGAGGACCAACTGTGCCTGGATCGCCTCGAGGACCTCTTTTGCCTTCTTCACCTGGTGGGCCTATTGGGCCCTGAATACCATGTGGCCCCTATTAAAACAGAAACACAGTTACCAGGAAAGAACTATTTGACAAATGAGTTGTAGTTGGAAGACTCATGTAATAAACTTGTTAACAAAGTTTAAAGTATATTAAATAAACTATTTCATCCCAAGCTATTATGAATTCTATTTATTTTAAACCTGAGAGAATACTGAATTATATGCTTCTAAACAATATTGATTATCTTATCATTAAAGCAACAAATGCTTACTGGTTCTCCTTTGGGTCCAGCTTCTCCTTTGAACCCTGGAACTCCTGGATCACCCTAAAATAAGAAATTAACAGTTATAAGAACTCAGGGCATTTGTTAGGAAATGGAAAGACTTGGAAAAATCATTAAGTAAAATAAACCAAGCCCAAAGAGACATGGGTCCCATGGTTTCCCTTATTTGCAATAACTAATACATGTCTAAGACAAGCAAAACAAAGGTCAAAAGCTATGTACATATGACCATATAAGATGATGTTAAGTGAAATGAACCCCAAGACAAGTGTTTTTTTCTTTCTTGTTATTGTTTTTAATATACTTATAATGCACTATGCTATTCTCTTGTTTCTTTTGTATGTGTTTCCTTCATGGTATAACCCCTGTTTTCACTGTATCTGATTCTGGTGTCCTGCAACTTGCATATGCATTTTTATAATTTGGGGAGGGAAAGGGATATAACAAAATGCTTAAATAAGGATACAGGTTGGTCCATTGTAACAATGAAATGTATAAGACACTATGTTGAAAATGAACTTTACAACTTGGGGGTGGGGCGCGGGAGGAGTTGGAGAGATGGGGAGATGGGGAGGGAAGGAATGGTAGGCAAAAATCAAAGGAGGAGATAACATGTACTCATTACCCTACTCATGTAACTGTAACCTCTCTGTACAGTATTTTTACAATAAAAAATACATGTGGAAAAAAAACAGATGCCAAAACCTAAAAGCAAAATCAGAAAGAACTAGGGGCAGTTAACTAGCTCTAGGTAATTAATATAAACCTTAATTTTTCAGCAATTGAATTTTCTCCAAATAATTAGTACAATGAAATCATTATATGCTTTGCAAATCTAAAAGGATGTGTGAATTTTTATAAAATATGGTGTGATTGGGCAACAGTTTATTTTATAGTGGTCTGAAGACGACTATAAAGGCAATTTTTTTAAGCATTTTGTTTTTTCATGCATACAATAATAATTAGAATTACTCAGTTATTTGAATCTGACAGCCAAAATTAGGTCAATGATATAGATTACCTAGCATTCATTATATGGCATATTCCTTAAAAGCATTTATCAGTCTGATCAAAAATACTTGAAACACAATCCAAAATATCTGTTCAAAGTAGTAGTGGAAAGAAAATATCTTTACTGATATCAGACAAAGTTACATAAGCACAACTTCTAAATATGTTATGATCATATTATTTAATGTGAAAACATTAATGTGTAATACATGGTAATAATATCCAACTTAGAGTTTAACCATCTAAATTACACATTAACATTTAACATTCACTTTACAATACTTTCAGCCAGTTCCCTCATTAGGTTAAGTTACATTATCTACAATGCATTCATTGTATCGCTTTACATGATATTTCTCTGGGTACTCTTAGTTGGGTTCTACTAAAGAATAATAGTTCTATAAGTTGATGTTAGGCGAAATGAACCCCAAGATAAGGACTCAAATGTTTTTTTCTTTCTTGCTATTGTTTCTAACATATTTATAAGATGATTGCTTTGTATGTTCCTCCCCCACGGTATAACCCCTGTTTTCACTGTATTTGATGTTGGTATAATTTGTGGAGGAGAAGGGAAAAAAAAATTGTTTAAATAGGGATACAGGTGGACCCACTGTAACAATGAGATGTACAAGACGTTATGTCGAAAAACGAACTTTACAACTTTGGCGCGGGGGGGGGGGGGCGAGTTGCGGGGAAGATGAGAAGGGATGGGAAGGGGAAACAAAGGAGGAGGTAACAATGCTTGATAAGAAATGTACTCATTTCTTGCCCATGTAATTGTAACCCCTCTGTACGGTATTTTCGCAATTAAAAAAGAAGAAGAATAGTTCTTTGCAAAAGGCATTACCGGCTGCCCTCGAATTCCCTGAGGTCCGGTGCTGCCCTGAGGGCCAGGGGATCCGGGAGGCCCTGACAAGCCAGGAGGACCAGAGGTCCCTGCGGAGCCCTGTTGGAAAGCAAGAGTGACATAATGATAAGATATGTAGATCGTAAGCTACAGCCAATATCCAAACGATTGTTTCCCTCTGAACCTCATGTGGCATAAAGGCAGTTACTCACCGTAGGGCCTTTGGCACCTGGGGTACCATCAGTTCCCATTGTACCCTAAAAAGTAAATAAAACGGTATTGAAGTCTGAACTTCTATCCGGTACCATGTGGGGGGTATGTGGGAAGCTGTGGTGGAGATGGGAGGCTGCATTCCTGCCTTCCTTTCTCTCACAAGAGCAGGAATAAGCATAGCTCCAAAAAAAAGCAATATCCATTGTTATATCATAATACTTTTGTGACTAGTTGTCTTTTCTATAAAATAGATAAAACATGAAGGAAACATGGGAGATTGTTTTTCTTGTGAATTTTAACCACTCATTCAGAATTCAAACAAACACAGGAAAATAAATTGCATTTGTCAGATGTTATAAGTTAATGTCTGCCTTTCTGGACTGAATTCTTAGAAATATGAAGAACTTACAGGAAGGCCTTGAGAGCCTGCTGGTCCTGGAGGCCCTGTTTCACCTCTCTGTCCCTGGGGACCTTCAGGACCTCTTGCCCCAGTGGGACCCGCTTCTCCCTAATGGAGGCAAAGGAAAGATTAATTTAAGAAACATATGAGTGTTATAGTAAAGACCTGATTTCTCCCATAGTGAAGGACTTTTTGTTTGTTGTTTCTTTGTTTTTGTTCTGGTTGTACTGGAGACTGAACCCAGTTTGCTAGACAGGGTCTCTCCCACTTGAACTAAATCTACAGCAGAACTTTATAGGAACAACAGAATTATAGATAAAAACAATCACCCAGGAATTTTATGGTGGCTGGGCTGGGGGAGGGGGTAAGGAGGCAGACAGAAAAATCGTTTATGGGAGAGATAATTCTGCTACCTGTTTGAGTTTTACTAAAGAACATTTAGTAGCTAAGAACCAATCTTACAATGATCTAGTAGTATAAAGTAGAATCCACAGTCAATGATTGTATAAGCAGTGGTTGCCAAGAAACTTACTTAGTCGTTTTAAACTCTAAGTAAGAGCACAAACTCCTTTCTGTTAACTAATAAGTCTAGGCTTATTAAGTATCTATTGTTTACTTCTTTTCCTCTCAAAGCTATTTGTGGAGACTGTCATAGGAAAAATGAAAGAATTATGCATATTTGTATAATGATATATTTGGTGATTGGGGAAAGAAGCGGTGTTATTGAGATCTGTAGTTTAGGGCTAGGCATAGAACTCTGTGCATGCTTAGCATACAGGAGGCACCAGGTGCGATCTGAAGCACCACAGATAAAGAAAGGAAAGAGGAGAGGGAGAAAAGAAGAACAGAATGAAAAAGAATAAGACACACAGGAAGAGGAGGAAGAAAAAGAGAAATAGAAGAAGAATGAGGTGGGGACGTGGACTTCAGGGAACAGATCAGAGAGGGAAGGAAAAGGATTCTCCATGAAGGGATTGAAAACTAGGATATCATTTTATAGTAACCCCTTTCTTGTGGCACAGAGTTTACAGACAGCATTCAAGAGCATGTATGATAATCTGGGTGGATGGTTCTCATGTTTCAAAGAGTATTAGAAATGTCAGTTTCTTTACATTTCCAGGTCCAAACTCAATTTGAATAGCACAAGTAATAAAAAGAGAGTACATAGTGAGGATGCCCGCTGCATTATGTACTCTGCTACAGATTGACATAGATGATTTTACGTACACAGAATTCCCTGAGAAGACAAAGCTCAGAGGGGTCAGAGGGCTGCCATAGCCACACACACATTTTCCTAAGCCTGAATCTGATAAGGAAACTCCTTTAGGATGAAGGGGCACAGAGAGTGAAAGGCAATCCAGCTTTGTTGCTTAAAATTCATTGTCTTATCTGATATAATATCTTTCTACTGTGATCCTTGAATGTTTTCCCCAATGTACTGAGAGAAAGAACAAATAGAGACTCTACAAATGCAATGGAAGCAGAATAACCCATTCCCACATGGGAAGCCAGTGACCTGACTCACTCTGCTGGCTGCAAAGGGAATGTGAGGCTGATGGCCTGCACTGTGTGAAAGAGCAGCCTCTTTCCAGTTTTATTTCAACCTCCTATTGTTTACTACATTCTGCTGTTGGTTACTCACGGGCACTCTCTCCCAAAACAGAGTTCCAACTTGGTTCAAAACTTTTATTTCCTATAGTAGTTTCATTTGTTTGGCTCTAGAGTCCACATAATAAATTCTTTGGTATTAGAACCTTTGACTAAAGTACTTTTGCTATAACTACAGATTATATGTTTTGTCCCCCTATCATCACATGTAAAGGAACTATTACTCTAAGGTGTTTCTTTATGAAAGTATAACTTTCATACTTTTCAACTAATAATGTTGGGGAACATTACAATCAAGTATCACGATATATGTCACTGAGTTACCTTCATCCCAGGATTTCCTGGAAAGCCTGAAGAGCCAGGTATCCCAAGAGGACCCTATTAATCAAAACCAGAAAAGTAATCAGACATGTATTTAATCCATATCTAATTAAGTCATTTTTTTCATCCTCTGGCAGCAATCTGTATTTTAAACACATAGGAATAATCTGTCTAGTCCTTTAAAATCACAAAGATAATTTAATATTATTTTTATTACCTTTCAATATTTAATCTAAACAGTAATGTTCAAAGATACTCAATAGAAGGGAACATAATAATTGGGTTTCCTAATTATACCAAATAAAGTTAACTCAGTCACAATTCAAAAATTTCCTCTTTGTTAATCAAGTGAGAAGTTTATAGAAAGCTACATTTTGTACAAAACTTACTGCATCATTTTTATAAAAGTAATTCCTAGGAAACTTCCAGATATTTCTTCAGGCAGTGACAAGAGGTTATTTATCACTGTACTACATTTGGAAAGACATACAAATAGTTCATAGTGTGTAAATAATTGATTTAAAAGCTTGATTTAAAGGAGATGACTTTAGGAATCCTATTCTAAGCCACCCTGGTTCTTCTTTGAGGACTGTATCTGAAAACCATCAGTTTTGAATTAATAAAAGGTTTTTCAGAGTATAGGACTTATTTTTGTTCTCTATTTTGTTTCATTTTTATGAGTAATAATGGAAAAACAATCTGTATGACAAATAATGACAATATAATTCTATTTTATTTTCCACATATAGGAAAAAAGATCTTAAGTTATTTTTCTTTGATAATCTTTCAGTATTATGCATGTTTCGACCTGAATTATTTTTCTCTATATCTCTATCTCTCTTTTCTCTGTCTCTCTTACCCTCTCTCTCTGCCTTTTTCTCTCTGTGTATGCTTCTCTTTCTCCTCTCTTTCTCTCTCTCTTCTGTTTTTATTAATACAGATAGCATTATTTGTCTTGTGTAGCTTGACTCAACTTTTCCCATTTGAGCAAAATAAAATGTTCCATGGACAATGTAGTCAGGATACCTACACTATTAGCTTATAAGGAACCAATCTCAATCACATATGGAATAATGTCTTCTAGATGTCATTTTATCTTTCTTTACAAAACCAAAGTACTACAAAAAATTCTTTAATTTCATATGGGAAAACAAATATGTGAATCAACTATTCCATAGAAACTATTCCATAGAAAGATCATTACATTTTTAGGCTATTTAAAACCATTAACTCATCTTCGTTTTCTAGTACCATGATGATTTAAGTGTTTTTGAATAATCAGAGTAGGTATTTTGATTCTCCACTGCATCTCCATAGGTTTCTTCTTCTTTTTTTTAATGTAAAGATGACATACAGAGGGGTCACAGTTACATAAGTCAAGTAATGAATACATTTCTTTTTTGAACAGTCACCTTTTTGTCACTTTTTACCTTGTTTTCTCCCAGTTTTTTCCCCTCCTGACCCCACAAATTGTATAGTTCATTTTCAACATAGTATCTAGTGAGTATCACTGCTTAATTAGTTTGCCCTTTGTCCCATCATCCATAGGCTTCTTAAGATCATTTATACCATTGGTACCACAGCGGCAACTGAGGCAACTATTCAACTATTGCAAGAAAGGGACAGACTGAAAAAGCAAGAGATGTGTCAGAAATGTGGCAAATTATACTTTTTATCCCTTCTGATAACTTACTACTAATCGCTTAATATATGTTCAGATTTTTTTATGGTCCCAGGGCTTGAACCTAGGTCCTGGCCACTAGCCCTGGGCATCTTTGTGCTCAAAGCTAGTGCTCTACCACCTGAGCCACAGCACCAAAGCACCATCTCTGGCTTTTTCTGAGTATTTTATTGGAGCTAAGAGTCTCACAGACTTTGCTGCCTGGATGGGCTTCATACTGCAATCCTCAGAGCTCAGCTTCCTGAGTAGCTAGGACCATAGGTGTGAGACACTGGTGCCCAGCTCAGAGTTTTTAAAGTATGAATGTTAACATTTAGAATTTCAGAAGTTACTTATACTTTGGAAATAAATGGAACAAAACGTAGGAGTGATGCTGATACTGAAATAAAAACTAGAGTACAGGGAATATTAGCATTCCTTGACAACTTCTTGTTTCTCATCTCATATTATACTTCTACTATAATAGCTTTATTGATTGCCTATAGACTATAAATACCAAGTCTACTTCAAATCTCTGCTCTAAGTCCCACACTGATATATCCAATAACAAAATTGAACTGATTTCTTCATACTTTAACCCCAAATTAACAAATCATGGTTTTTCCTCTTTATGTATTCCCAAGTCTAGATAAACTAGATCATCCACCAAAATCCTCAACCAGAAAACGAATACAATAGGGCTATTAGACATCCTTAGCAATCTGCTTCCATTAACACTGTAATAATTTTAGTTCATATCTTTATACTTTTCCATTAGGCTTCTCCTTATAATATTCACATTCAGTTTTATATTTTTTATGAAAATGGACAATTACTAGCAGATGTTCTATCTGGTCATGACATTCCTATTATTATGGTCTTTCAATAATCACTACAAGAATAAAGTGAAAAACTCATTAACATAGTAAGTATGGTCCTTCACTATCTCTCTAGCTCCTGTCTGCCATTCCAATTCCATCCTCCTAGCTCTCCCTCAACAAGTCATGATTTATTCACCTATCCTCCTCCTATGGATGAAAGAATGCTCTGGTCCATTTTTATATATTACCTTTTCAATATTTAACCTGAAATGTTCTCATTCTGTCTTCCTTTATACCCTTCTCATCTACAGGTTTAGGCATTCTCCCCTATATTTCTATATTTTGCCTATATTTTACATTATGGCAATTAGTGATAGGATAATACAATGATTTTAATTAGCATATTCAATTTTCAAAGAGATTTGTTTACTATGTTCTTTACTCCAAGTGTCTAAAACACAGGGGTTGCTCTGAAATTTTTGTAAATGTAGAAATGAAAGAATAAATCAACTATATATAAATCAACAATATAACTCACCATTGGTCCTGGTTTTCCAGGCATACCATGAGCACCTCGTTGTCCCTAATGAGAAGAGAAAAAAAGACAAGTTGACAAGGTAAGATTATATTGACAATATTTTTTCATAAGTTATTTGCTATATAGGTAATCTCTGTGTTGAGAAACAAGAATAAATGATAAGTACTGGTAAAAAAAATTATTGAGCTAACAGCAATGCAATCAGACACTATGCAAACCTGTTGACGCAGTAATAAACGTATCTATCCTTATAGTAACAAGAAATAAAAATCAAGATTAAGAAAATGAAGCTGATATAAATTATTCTGTTTTACTTTAATATGTCAGCTGTGGTCAAGTGAGCTCAGAGATGAGACTTTGAATCTTAGACATCTTAACTTCCAGATTAATCAAAGGAGGAACGTTCTCATATAAACAAACAAAAAAAGCACCCGTACATTAACTTGTAATGAATTCTTTAGGTTTTATCCAGATCCTGTTCAGAACTAAAGGATTCATTCTTCAGCTGAAAGTGCTTGTTGCCAAGGATCCTCAGTTAAAATTCTTGCTGGAACTACCCTCTGTTAAAAAAGCTAGTTTCTCCAAAGTTTTCCCCTCCCTTAGATGGATGATGGAGTACAAATGATTGACTTCCATCCAAGGCAAATCTGTAGAATTCCATAATCTCCTAGGGATTTATGCAGGACTCTGTTACAACACAAACACATTTATTTCAGTGTCTCCACTTGGTCACATTCCCTGCTGCTTTAATTCATTCTTTCAAAAGTAGAATTTGTAACAGTACTTCCAAGTCCATTTTGTGGATAGTAGTAACTGACTTGAATCCATTGTCTTGGAAAAAGACCCAATGATCATTGGTACCAGAACTAACACAAAAACAAAGGAGACTTTAAATTGGATCTTTTAAAGATGGGTTCTTCACTGATCAACTGGTGATCAGTGGAATAGGAAATCACTTTTGCACAATGTGGTAATGCAGTGGTAAATATTGTCTCTACAGATGAACTGAAATAGAACAGAAGTATAAGGGAATGGACTACGGATATTATGGCTCAGGCATTTCAAAAGGCTTAGGGAAAACAGTAACTATAAATGTGATAGAATTTCATGAGCCTTGAGTATATCTATTGGAAAAAAAGATATTAAAAGGATGACAATGACTGAACTTGGGTAAGGACTAATGCTAATGCCTACTATTAATTCTCTTAATATCTCTCGGGATGTCAAGCTATACTAGCTAATAATTTAAATTTACATTGAGAAATAGGTGACATATGTTAAAGGCATATCCTCATTTAAAATGCATGTGTCACCAGCAAAATTGAAGGAGGTGAACTCCACTTTCCAGCACCATACAAAGAAGCAGGCATACTTACAGGAGCACCTTGTGGCCCGAGTCTCCCCCTCTCTCCTGGCATTCCTCTCGGGCCCTGTGAATGGCAGACAAGAAAGAACATCTCTTGAAGCATTTAACTTGGATTCTTGGCTTGGTTTGACTGAGATGATATAATTAGCTACCAACATCAACCTGTCTAGCAGCAATTTGAGGTTTGCAAATCTGTGAAGATACCTACCCTACCTCTCTTATATAACTAATTTCATTTCATTTGGATACAATAAGCCAAATGTACAAAGCTACTGTATGATTACTGTGCATGCAAAAATAATGGCCTTCAATAGTTAAGAAAAACAGTGATTACAGGAAGGACCCTCTATTATTCTAAGGGCTCAATTCTCTTGGTTCACTGTAAGTAACCAAGATTATTTCCATAGCTGACATATATTCCCTATGCCTTTTTAATATTTTCACTCCAGCTTTCTGTTTATGTAAAAACCAAAGAAAATAAAAGCCAAAGAAATAAATATATGCCTATATGTATCACAATAAAACATTTTTGTAGAATTTATGCTAATAAAAATATTGACAGAAAAGAAATATTGGATTTGTCTATCTGACAGTTTGGATTCATAAATGTGTGAGATTATGATTTGACACTTAAAATCACCTTTCAAAAACAAAAAGAAAGGAAGAATTGAAACTTACCAGGGGACCCATAGCACCCATTGGACCAGTAGGACCAGCCTCACCCTGAAGTGAAATTGAGATAACATTCACTTTGAGAAATTAAAATTGATATTAGCATCATATTGCTTTTTAGGGGGCAGTAGAAAGGTTCTTCAAATGAAAGATCTAATAATTTTGCCAATTATAATTATCATCAATATTTTTCTTGAAATAAAATGAGTTTAGGGACCACTTACGTGAGGTAGAAATCATGTGGATCATGATTCAAGACTAGTTCAAAGGAAAAACTTAACAAGACACCATCTCAACCAAGAAGCTGAGCATAATACCCAATGAATGTCTCAGCTACTGGGAGGAATATGTAGGAGGACTTAAATCCGAGGTAAGTCCCTGAGCAAAACCACAAGATTCTATCCAAAAAAAACAGATGAAAATAAAAGGGACTGAGGGCATGACTCAAAAGGTAATGCCTTGTATAGCAAGCACAAGGCCCTGATTTCAAACTCTAGTACAATAAATACATATTTACACATTGAAATAATTAAATTCTATAGAAATAAGTCTAAAATAAATCTATGAATACAGTATCAACAAGATCAATGGAAACTATGATACCCAGCCAAGAAAGGAGCCAAATGCCTATGTCTGATTAAGCTCAAGTAAAATTCTACAAAGATGAAAGTATAATAACATAAAAGCTCATTTTAAAATAAAATACTTTCCCACATATGTATATCATGGTGTTTCCCCCTATAACTTCATTTTCACTCCCTTGGTAAGTCCTATCCTTAGAGGAATAAATCAATTTGGGGAAGACAAGATACTTCACATTTCCCAGAATTGAAAGGCTAGTAAAATGTAGGGCAGTATTTTCTCCCACTTATTTATTTATACCCTCCTTTCCTCCGTAATTATTCAAGATACTTCTGAAAAACATGCAGGCTCATGAAACAGAATCTAGGTGTCTCATGAGGTCAAGTTTAGATGTTCCACATTTACCTTGGAACCAGTTGCTCCAATTTCACCTTTGGGGCCTTCAAGACCTTTATGTCCCTGAAAAGAAATTGTTTGATACAGAAACAATTTAATTCTTCAGATAAACACTTGTATTGACTTTAGAGTAAACACATACTTAAAGGGTTCATATAATTAGAAAATATGAGCTACATCCACAGGTAAATTCAACTGCAATTGTTTTTCTGTATCCACAACTTCTACATGGATGGATTCCATCAGCAGGGAATTGAAAATATTCAAAGAAAATGTAACTTTTTTATAGCATGTACTCTAGATGATGGTTTTTTCTGTACTAAAAATTTATAGAACTTTTCTATTTACTATTCTCCAAACAATAAGTATAACAGCGATTCACTTAGCACTAATCTTACAGTATGGATTCTATAACTAACCATAAGTATAAGAATAACCATAACTATATGGCAATATTTGCATAAATTATACACAAATACTGTGGCACTGTATGTGAGGGGCCAGAGCACTGATACATCTGGGGATTCATGTGGAGGAAGGGGATCCTAGATCTAGTTTCTGTGGACACTGAGGAACAGCTGCATTTTGTAACTAGTACAATAACAAATATTCTGATCTTAAGCTTAACCACTCAAAATGGAGACGTATCCCTGAATATTAATTGAAGATAAGCCTTGCTTTCGGAGAAAGAGATAAACTAGAGACCAAGAGAGGGATTTAACGTGTTTACACAATATGTAATAGTTATATATTAAATATTCTGAGTTATAGCCGAAGCACTCTGTTGCCTTCCAAGTCTGTGTTGACCGGGCATGTTCTGCAACCTCATACACACTTCTTGAATCATGTCACACATCACATAGCTGAAGCAGCAGGATAAACTTATCTCATTTGTGTATTGTCTTCTTTAGCACAGTATCCAGTACCTGGCAAGAACTCAAATTATTTTTCTATAACCCTAAAAAACGTTTTCTAAAGATTCAAAATTCAAAACAAATGTAGAACATCACTGTGATTTCAGCTGACGAAAGGGGTCATACAGACCCCTTTCAAAGGGATCCCTTGCCAGAACCAACTCAGTAAACCACAGTGTCTTGAGAGGCTTACAGGGGACTCAACTTACCCGGTGACCTTTCAGGCCTGGAAGACCAGGAGCCCCAGGAAAGCCTCGAGCTCCCTGGAGAAAAGAACAAATAGATGAGATATTGTTGAGTCACTGTAGGAAGAGGAAACAATATACTTTTTCCTAAAAAATTAGCTGACACACAGCTTTTCACCAAGAAACTAATGAAGAAAAAAAAAAGAAAAGTATATTTCATCTGTCAGAATATCTAGAAGATCAAAACTTTGCAAAGTAAAACATTGTTAAAAATGGAAATGTAGCGGAGTGCCAGTGGCTCACGCCTGTAATCCTAGCTACTCAGGAGGCTGAGAGCTGAGGATCGAAGTTCAAAGCCAGCCTCAGCAGGAGACTCTTATCTCCAATTAATCACCAGAAACTGGAAGTGGCACTGGGGATCAAATGGTAGAGCGAATGAAGAGCTCAGAGACAGTGCCCAGTCACAGAGTCCAAGCCCTCTGACCAACCAAAACAAAATGGAAATGTGAACATATAATAGAATTATGACTTACAAAAAGATATAGATTAATACTAGCTACTGATATGATATGTGCTACTGATTTTCAAATCATTTAAAAATTTTAAATGGTATCATTACTATTATTATTTAGAAACAACTAAAACAAGAAAACTAAAACTAAGACTGTGCAAAGGTTTAAGGAAACAATTCAGAGAAAAATTTAAGTGAATATATACTGTATTTCCTTTATATTATGCTTCAGGGTAAATAAATACATTTGTACAAAGCCACATTTTTTATTTCTTTTTTATTACTTCTGATATTGGCAGCAGATTATGATAAGAATCCTAATATTATTAGGATTTTTTAAATGTGTTTGTGACAGCCTATGTGAACTTAAAATTTTTAATAAACAAAACAAAAAATAAAATATACAACAGAAACAAAGGCAAGAAATAGACCGATGGTTTAGTTTCTTGATTCAGTAATTTCTAAATTTCTCTTACCTAATCATATTATATAAAAAACAGAAATGCATTAGAAAATCAAATCCAGTGAAATGATTATTTCAAAATGATCCTTGAAACATTTCTTTATACTCTTTTTAAACTAATTATGAACGACTGGCTTATATGCTTTTTCTCATTGCCACATTAATTTGGCTTTATAATGAACTAATATTACTACTGCCACCAGTAAAATGTGGATCTTTATAACACAGATTTGAAGTATCAATTACTGTAAGTTTTCAGTAACTATTGTTATCCTTCATATTCTTCACCATTAGCTTTATATTTGATGAATAGTCAATGGATAATCATTGGATAAATAAGTGAAGAAGAAATGTCTTTGTACTTCACATTCATACAGCTAATGACCTGAACCTATCCAAAAGACCTTCTAGTACAATCTCACATATATAAGGAAATCATTTTACTCCATATATTACAGCCTTACTCACTATTTACTACATGAATGAATTAGCAACTCAATAAATGAAACTCATAAGGTAAGATCAAAGCAATACTTCCTCTTTGAATTCTTGCAGGGAAAACATTTAATGCTTTGAAAGTATCCCAGTAAAGTGCATCAAATCACAATCTTTGAACAAATAAAGTTCCACTAATTCTTCTGTTTACATAACCATGTTTAAGAATTCTTTCATGTTAAGAAATTCCTTCAACTTCCCTTTTTTTCTGTATTCCTGTTTTCTGAGCTTATTCTTCCTTCCCCCATAAACAGGCAAATCAGTGCACACCCACCTAGGCTTATGGGGGAATTAGTGAGCTATGTTATTTAGTTTTTATGCTCTGTGAGGAAAATTCTCTAGTGATTACACATCCCTAGTATAACAAGAAAATGATCCAGATGTACAAATGCTCATAAAGAACTCGCGTTCTGCTGACCCAGGACTGTCATCACGGTGCAATCACATGCCGCTGCACTGAGTTTGCAGAGAGCATCTGTGCTGTGCTGGCAGGGCACCTTTTCTCCCTGTGGAGGACCACACTGTGAGTGTGTGTGAAAATACAACAGGCCACGGGAGGCTCAAGCCTAGAGCTGCTGAAAAGCACATCTGTGCTCATGGCTACACTTCATGCTTTTGTCTGACTTTATTTCCCAGGCTGATGGGGAGAGGAGAGGGAGCAGGGATAAGGGGAATTGGCTTGATATTTCAAACAAAGTAATCCATACAACTCTGCAAATCTCTGTTAAATTTAAATGTTCATTTGTTTAAAAATATTCATAACATGAACCTCATCAGTTTTCAATAAGTAAACTGATAGTAATGTAGTAAAACCAATACTTATGCATAGTAGTAGAAACATTACAGAACTGCAAATAAGGGAAACCATGGGACCTATGTTTCTTTGGGCCTGGCTTACTTCACTTAATATAATTTTTTCCAAGTTTTTCCATTTCCTAACATATGGG